GCTCTGGCGGGAAGGAGCTCTGGCCTCCATGCCTTCCTCAGCCTCCCTGAGTGGATGCCGTTTCCCTGTCTGCCCCAGCCTTCCTTCTGTCAGGTCCTGGCTGTGGTCCAGGCTGTCCACACCCTCCATCTCTAACCCAAATGAGGAAACAACCCCATCCCCTGTCAACCTGGGCCAAGTTGTAAAAATGTTCTTCTTTCTCTCTTTGCCCCTTCTTTCAGCTGAGATAGGCTGGAGTTCTTAAAACTAAAATTAACTGAGAAATGTTTGCAAAAAGCCAAAATAGTCTGAATTTCAGTTTGCTTCATATTATCACCGCCATGGCTGCCGACATTTATGATAGCTTTTTCATATCAGGAATTTTCCCTGGGGCGGGCCCCCTGGCCGAGTGGCTAAGTTTGCGCACTCTGCTTCGGGGGCCCAGGGTTTGACTGGTTTGGATCCTGGGCGGCGACATGGCACCGTTCATCAGGCCATGCTGGGGTGGCGTCCCACATCGCACAGCCAGAGGCACTCACAACTAGAATATACAACTATGTACTGGGGGGCTTTGGAGAGAAGAAGAAGAAGAAAAAGAAGATTGGCAGCAGATGTTAGCTCAGGTGCCAATCTTTAAAAAAAAAAAAAGGGGGGAATTTTCCCTAATGCAAGGGTTCATTTAATCCTCATAACGACTCCCGAGTACTTTACATTTTAAATCTTCTCAATCATTTGGTTGGAAGTTCGTATTCATTGTTAGGAATTCCAGCCATCAGCCTGGCAGGAGGGCGTCCGCCCGGCTCCTCTCTCCGCCCCCAGCACAGTGCCCTTGCTAAAATTCCACATTGGCATCCCGGTTCCTGTGAGATATGGAGACAGGACCTGATCTGAAAAGGACGCGGCCCTTTGGAGGCCCACAGACATCAACGGCTTTTAGGGGCAGCTTTTCCTCTCAAGAGCCCTTTCCAACTTCTCCATAATTAAAAGACTCGTATCCTTTTCCTCTTCATCTACTCAGCTTCCCGTCTCTGTAAACTGATTCCTGAAAACGAACCCTATGCTGATCCGTTCACACAGGGAATGACTCACGATTCCTCTCCTCGGCCTCCCTCGTGGGGCTGGCCTTGCAGCACTCACAACGCACACTCCCCGCAAATAAGACACCTGCCAACCACCCACACGTAACACATGGAACACATTCCTCTCCTCCTCAAACCACGCTGCTTCGTGTGCCCATCCTTGCCCGGCCCTCCCCGCTCGTGTCCCTCACCACGGCCTCCCGCACCCTCAGAAGAAACCACAGCTTCTATTCTTCTTTTTGCTAGAGACCAATTTTGCCTGTTTAGAGCCTCACCTCGACGGACTTGCCCAGAACGCACTCCTTTGTGTCTAGCTTCGTTGCTTTGCTCACCCTCTGGGAGCATCGTCCACCAGGTCGTGTGCGTCAGTAGTTCTCTCCTTCTCATTGCCGAGTAGTCTTACTGTTTGCATTCATTTCTAAGTTATATTAATAATTCGAATAGTATATGACTACACTTTTTCTTGCAAAAATTTGCAATGTTATAGATAAGAAGTCTAATATCCTAGGAGATAATTCCCGGGGTCTCTTGCTGCAGACCCTTTAGCCTCCTTGCCCTGTGCCCCCACATGCATGGACATGACCCTGCAGAACACACGCACTACTGTTTGTCGTGTTTTAAACAGCAGTATCCCATTACAGGTCTCTCTGCACAACTTGCCTTTTTAATTCAACAGTGAGTCTTGTCGATACAGCCACGTTCGTGCACAGAGATCCACTTCATTTTTAAAACTGCTGCACAGTGTTTCATAATCTAGGTGACCCACATTTTGTTTAGTTATCACTGAGCTCATTTCCAGTTCTTTCCATTTCAACAAATGCTTCAGTAAACGTTTGTCAAGTTTCCTTTTGTGCATCCGTGAGTGTTTCTGTGGGACAGATGTGGAGAAGGGACATGCTGAGTCAGAGTGCAAAGTGACATTTCAACAGACTGGCCGCCGCATCCGTAGCAATTCACAGCCCCCACCCACCCATGCTTAGAGTGTTAGGCAACTTGGAAACCTCTGCTAATCTAAAAAATCTGACCTCATTTTAATTTGTCTTTCATTAATCCTAGAAAGGTTGAGCTTTTCTTCACATAATTACTGGCTGTTTGTGTTTTCTTTCCACTGAAAGGAACTCTTGGCCTGATTCTTCCATTGGCTAATTTTTTCTTTGCTTCATAGCTATATTAGGTTATTAATTATTACTAATAGGTTAGTTTTAATATATATTATTGTTAGTGCCAAGCCTTTGTCTGTTCTGTTTTTGCAACTAAAAAAATCTTTTCTGTTCGTTTTGTGGTACAGAGATTTTAAATTACACCAATCTTTTTTTTTTTTTAAGATTTTATTTTCCCTTTTTCTCCCCAAAGCCCCCTGGTACATAGTTGTGAATTTTAAGTTGCGGTTCCTTCTAGTTGTGGCATGTGGGATGCCACCTCAGTGTGGCCTGATGAGCGGTGCCATGTCTGTGCCCAGGATCTGAACTGGTGAAACCCTGGGCCGCCGAAACGGAGCAAGTGAACTTAACCACTCAGCCATGGGGCTGGCCCTACACCAGTGTTAGAGTTATGAATTTGCTTTCTCGGACGCTGTTTAAGAAAGTCTTGTTGACTCCAAGGTCATAAGCACAGGGTTTTATTTCCTTCTGATAGTTTTGTAGTTGACAGGTGGATTTTGATGTGCTGGTGCACATTCTATGAGGCAATTCTACTTTCTTCTGATATTTCAGCAAGGGAACTTAGTCCCATCACTTTGGGCATCTTGCATTTTCGACTGTGCCTTTCACTCTATTTCCAGTTCGGGGGGGTTAAATAAACAATATGAAATTATCCTATTTCGTGTCTTTTGTTTCTTTTTTAATCCACCTTAAATTCTGGTCAGAAAAAAAAGTTTATTCACTCTCAAATATCTTGACGTGCCTAATGGAGATGGGTGCCAGGATGCAGCACGGTCAGACAGACCCCCGACTGCGCAGGGCTGAGCGTGGGGGGAGGACAGGCTTACGGCAAACGACTCAGCCGTGCTGAGGCATCTCCAGACGTCAGCTGAGGGCAAACTGCGCTCGGAGATTCCAAGAAAATCGGCTCGGACGTTTCAATGTTTCATCTTATTGGAAATCCAACGACATCCCCAAGATTTCTGTGAATTCCTTAGGGCTGTTGTCGCCTCTGGCTCTGAGTTTTGTGCACTCAGCTGTCACGCTGTCGCTTCCCCTGACAACTGTCCCCCTCTCTCGGCTCTGCCCTGGCCCGTTGGAACCTGGTTCAGCTCCCTGATTTCCCCCGAAGTCGCTTACTCAGGCTCGTGTTTATGAAACTCCAGCGAGGCTGTGGGGAGACAGGGCGCACACGTAGCAGCCAGACAATCTGAAGTCCAACGCTCATTCGGCCTCCTTGCCACCAGGAGCCAGCACGACTTTCACTGCCCCCCCTCCTTTGGGGGTCTTCTTTCTGCTTCAAGACCCCCCACACCTCTCCCAGTTTCTTGCTGTCCAAGCCCCTCCAGAAGCTCCCTGTACCCCAGTTCATCAGGCAGATCAGTTTCACACAATCAAGAGTTTCACCCTTTTGCAGCACAGAGAAACTGGCAGAGGATTCGGCATTTCAGTCTGTTTTTGCCTCCATAAGTGGAAGGGGCGCATGTAGAGACGGATTTTCCCATTGAAGATTATGCCACCTCTCTGTTAGCAGACACAAGTGGCCATAGGCAGTTTTGGGTTTAAATAACTTTTTTCCCAACAGAGGAGCATAACGGTGGAAGCTAATGCCATGTGGGCAGCCACTGAGGAAGTGGCATTGAATCTGAGATCTGAAGGAGGAGCTGTGGTTATCCAGGGAGGGGTGGGCTGGAAGGGGATGGGGTTCCAGCAGCATGGGCACCGCGTGCAAAGGCCCTGAGGTGAACTCTAGCAAGGCTTACTCAAGAAAATAAGAGAAGGCAGCAGGAATGCAGAGTCTGTGGATAAAATGGGGTTAAGATGACAATATTCTAAAGGCAGAGGGGGCGGGGGCAGTGGCAAAACACGACAGCATGTTAAGCAAGTAACAGGTTTTAATTCTACGTTTTAAAAAAGATTGCTCTGCCACAAGGAGATATTACTTCACACCCACTAGGATGGCTATAATAAAAAAGAAAAAAGGATAATAAGTGTTGACAAGGAAGTAGAGAAACTGGAACTCTTGTGCATTGCTGGTGGGAACGTAAAATGGTGCAGCCGGTCCAGCAGCTCAAAACGTTAAGCAGAAAATTACTATGTGAGCAATTCAGCTCCTAGGCGTCCAAGCAAAAGGAGTGAAAACCAGTATTCAAATGAATACACAGTGCTCAAAGCAGCACTATACACAACTGTCAAAAGGTGGCACCAACCCAAACGTCCATCAAATGATGAATGGATAAACAAAATGTGGTCTAGCCACACGATGGAATATTATTCAGCCACAAAAAGGAATCAAGTACTGATCTGTGCTATAATATAGATGAACCTCAAACACTTTATGCTGAGTGAAAGAAGCCAGACACAAAAGGTCACATATTGTATTTGTATGAAATATCCAGATTAGTAAATCCATAGAGACAGAAAGCAGATTGGTGGTTTCTGGGGGTTAGGGAAAAGGGGGAAACAGGGATTGATGACCTCATGGGGACAGAGTTTCCCTTTGGGGTGGCAAAAGTGCTTCGGGACTAAGTGGATGTGATGGTTACATCATATTTTGAATGTCCTAAATGCCCCTGAATTGTATATTTGAAAATGGCTAATTTTATGGCTCATGACATTCACGTCGATAAAAATAAGATTCCTCGGACCTCCACGTGGAGAATGAATTGGAGGGGACAAGAATGGAAAGGGGGGAGCAACGGGAAGCTGTGGCAGTGGTCCAGGGGAGAAATGACAGCAGCTTGGGGGAGGGGCCATGGGCCTCTGGTGCTGGAATTGCCTGGGAAATACCCATCACCCAGGCGACTGGACAGGGCTCAGAATTTTAGGACAAAGAGAGAAGAACATGGTGGCTTGGAGGACCGTCTCAGGAGGAGCTTCTACAGCTTCCAGCTGAAGTCACAGCAAAGGCTGAGCTCATCAGGGGGAGGGCAGGAAGCACGAGGCAAAGGGACAGCAGGAGGAGGCCGGGGTGAGGGCTCCAGTGAAGAGTACGATTTTAAATATCCGTCCAGAAAGACAGAGGCGCACCTCACGGTAATCTGAGGGGAAGGGAAGGGTAAGGAAGGCTTGTGTTTGTCGGCGAGGGGACAGCTGAGTGTGCTCTAGGCTCACACAGGAGGAGCCACTGAGGGGGGACAGGGACTGAGGATACCACCTTTGACGGAGCTAGATCAAGAGGATATGGCCTGGCCTGGGAAGGAGCAGGAACATGCCTTCCTCTGAGAACAGAGAGGGGAGGATGTCTGAGAGCGACTCTGATGGGAAAGGTACGACGGTTGTGGCACTTCTGCCCACGTGAGGGGAGAACGTGAGAGGGGCTGCAGAACGTGGGGGCGTTAGAACAGGTCTTGCGGAGAATGTAGTACTAGAGAGGAAACTGGGCCGCACGAAGGATGGCCAAGGAGCCCTGAGAGTCAGGAACGCACCTGTGTAGGGGAGCCAAGCTTCTTGTTATGTAATTTTTTTTTTTTTTTTCCCGAAAGCACTAGGCCAAAGTAAGAACTAAGGCAGTAATCCTGGTGGGTATATTGTTACAGAAAACACTTTCATCAATCAGCACCCAGAAATAGGATGGGAATAGCGCGAATGAAATTCAAGTAGCCTTCTGAGAAGGAGGATTTGAAAACCTTCCATGTGTAAGCTCCTTCTTCAAAAGAAATGCTATTTAAAACCATATCGGATAAGTAAGTACATATTTAAGTTAGCCAGCAGGAATTATTTTTGCACTTAAATATGTGTATATGTCATATAAATTATTATAATAAAATATAGGTAGCATTTTAAAGGCCTATATACTGAAATTGTATGTTTTAGGAAGTTGTTGAGAATTTTTATATCAGAGATAACATTAAAAAGCTCCCAAACATGTAACAGTGGACTAACGGTTAGTACAAAATACTAAAAGCTGTTGTACTACTTGATTAAGCAAATATTTTGGAGAAATCAACTTGCTTCATCTCCTACTTTGAATACTAGACGTATTATTATAGGTTGTAACCAATTAACTATGGCTTCAGTTGACAGTCTAGAAATTTACTTTTTCCAACAAACACTTAAGGCCTTGCAAGTACAGGGCATCGGGCCATGAACACTACAGAGAGGAAGAAGAAATGGTCCCTGCCATTAGAAAGCTCAAGTTGGGTTCAGGCTCTACAGAAGCCATGGGAGGGGCCGGCCCGGTGGCACAGCAGTTAAGTGTACATGCTCTGCTTTGGCGGCCCGGGGTTTGCTGGTTCGGATCCTGGGTGCAGACATGGCACCCCTTGGCAAGCCATGCTGTGGCAGGCATCCCACATATAAAGCAGAAGAAGATGGGCACAGATGTTAGCTCAGGGCCAGTCTTCCTCAGCAAAAAGAGGAGGATTGGCAGCAGATGTTAGCTCACGGCTAATCTTCCTCAAAAAAAAGAAAAAAAAGTAGTTCATGTGAAAATGCAGCTAACATCCACACCAAGATGAACTAGGAGCTCCTGAGCACAGAAGGCAGAGCTTTAGAAGACCCCAGGGACCAGAGCTCACTTGTCACCAGGCAGAGGAATGCGTGGTGGGGTCCTCAAGGAGCCTGGCCATGGAAGAGGTTGTATTTGAATTGAAACTTTCCGGGGTGAGAGGAGCAGGTATTTCTCTTAAGAGCAGAAGAGAACATACAAGTAGACCAAAAAGCAAGAACCTTCAGCCGTGAGAAAGAAGGAAATCCTGCAGTTTGCGACAACATGGGTGGACCTTGAGGGTATCCTGCTAAGTGAAAAAGCCAGACAGACAAAGACAGATACTGCATGGTACCACTGATGTATGGAATCTGAGAAGAAAAAAAAAAAGTCAAACTCATAGAAATAGAGAGTGGAAAAGTGGCCGCCAGGCTCTGGGCGGTGGGGAAATAGGGAGAGGTTGGTAAAGGGCACAGATTTTCAGCTCTAAGATGAGGAAAGTCTGAGGATCTAATGTATGACATGGTGACTACAGTTGATGACACTGTATTGTACAACTGGAATTTGCTATGAGAGTAGAACTTACACGCTCTCACCAAAAATAAATAAATAAAAAAAAGTGAGGTGATGGTGTGTTAACTAAATGGGGGAATCTTTTCATGACAAATACATCTCTCAAATCACCGTGATGTACACTTCAAATATCTTACAATTTCATGTCAATTATACCTCAATAAAGCTGGAAAAAAATAAAAACCACACACACAAAGCCTGAGCAAAGACACATATCACATCAAGAAAGTCAGAAGGTGTTTGGTCAGTCGACTTGTTGGCTGGAGCACAGCAGGTGCACCAAGGAGCAGGAAGAGGCTCTGAATTTAAGCAGAGAAGGAACTGTGGAGCCTGCCACCAAGAGGATTAGGAGGTAAAGAGGCAAGACTTAGAGCTCGTGTATGGTGTTGACGGATCAGACCTAAATCATGTTAAATGTCAGCACATGAAGAGACCTCGCCACAACCCTGGGCAGTGAGCAAGCGCTCAGTGTGAGTCAGTCATCAGCAGTTATGGGCTGATGTGTGCAGGATGAACTCGACAACTCTAGCCACCTTACGCCAAACGTAGCGAACAGTGACTCTTCATCCCTTATCTCCTACCAAAACCGTCCGCACTTCAGTCTCCGCAGCACAGCAAGTGATACCACAAATGATGTAATTTTCCAAGTCAGGGACCCCTCCCTTCTCACTGCACTCCATACCCAACCAAGCCCTACGGTTTCTGCTTCCAAGATGTATTTTCCATCATTCCACTTTCCTCCATCGTTTCTGCCATCATCTTGCATTTCTTACCCAGACTTCTGTACGGGTTTCCTATCCATATCTCCATTTCTGCTACTCCAGGTCGAAAATATTCAACTCAGAATGACCTTCCAAAACTACAGGCTAGATAGCCTCTCTCTCTCCTCTCTTCAAAGATCCTATTACCTTCCACTTACTTCACCCTTTGCCTTCTGTGGCCTGCAGGACCCCATCTTCCTATCCTTCATTCTCATCACACCCACTCTCTTCGTGCTGGCCAATGCTCTAGACATGCTGCTCACGCCTGTCTCAGACCCACTGCGTGTTCCATTCCCTCAGCCTGAAATGTTAGCCTACGCCCATCCCTCTGCCCTCCTGGCTGGCTCCTTCTCATTCTTCAGTAGCAGCTTCAACATCACCCTCTCAGTGGCTTCCCGTGAGCATCTACTCTAACGCAGCCTCCTTCCCTGCCCACGGGTTATTCTGCCCATTGCCCTTCCGCTGCCTTCACAGCAAACGGCCCTCTTTGAAATTATACTTAGATTTTTGTATTTGTGTGTTTAATGCTTATACTGAATGCTTTCAAGTTTAGGTATTAAAGTGCCAACTCAAATGGTCTTGTGCAAATAAGGACTTTTTGTTATCTCCCCAGTGGGAATCCTGAGGGAGGATGGGGTTCAGAGCTGGCTGAGCCAGCAGTTTGTGATGTCCTGTCCTTTCATGCTCTCCACCAGACTGTCCACAGCATCGTGCTGCCTATTGGACTGGATGTTACCTGCTGATTTCTTCACATTTACTAGGAGACAGGAAGTCTCTCCCTGCAACCAAAGATCTTTCAGTCACATTGGACTAGACTAGGTCACATGTGCTGCTCCCTGTTACCAGGAGGCATGCCTTATGCTGGCTGCCTTGAGTCTGAGCTTCTGACCAAATAAGGAGGAGTTATTATGATTGTCTTAGGATTAATGAGAAATCCAACTCTAAGACCGAGGTCAACTCCTGGAATCAGAGTCATTGCTACACAACAGGGGAGGACTGGGATAAGCCCTCGGGAGGCCCCCATTATCCACTTACATCTCTCCATTCAGAAGAGAAGAGGCCTCATTCTGCTTAACGCATTCCTCTTCACTCAGCTCCTAGCATAGCGCCTGACACATACGGAAGCCCAAGGAATGTTTGCTGAATTAATGAAGAATTGGGCGAGAGAGTCGAGGAACCAGTCTAGAGGTCATTGATTCGGTGGAAGTACATAGATGGCTCACAAACCAGTCACAAAAAAGGAAAGAGAGAGATGAATGCAAGTGGTACTGTTTACTCAGAGACTGTGGATTTGGCCATTGACCAGACGTGAAATGAGAGAGCGAGAAGGAAGTGCAACAGTCTGAGCCTGGGATCACATGCTGGGTTTAGCCCCCAGGCCTCCTTGCTTCAGCTCAGTGCCCTACCATCCCAAGCAGGAAGGGAAGAAGGGGCCAGGGGCAGAACTGTCAGGCACACATCCTCAAACGGGGGACATAATGGATTCTCGGGGGAGGAGAGGAAATCAGACATTACAGCGGCTTGGAGCCCTCAAAGCTCCACTTGGGCCAACAAAAGCTTGTTAGGGTGAGCTTAAATTAAATAAAAAACTTTTCCTTAGGAGGGGGGCAGTAATGAATTTTCAAAAAGGTTAAGAACACTAATTAAGGGATGGAGAGACCCTATTGAGGAGTCTAGGACGGATAAGAGAGGCCGAAGGAACGCCTAAGAACATCTCAGACGTGTACACATCTACATATATGCCTCCATGTGACACAGACACACACGCACCCCTCAGCTACTAAACAGACCGTCTCATACAGTTATGACAGGCATAGAAACATACCTTTCAACTTAAGATTCTTTTCTACTGAAAAATTAGAAATATTCTGAATATGGCATTGTAGTTCAGCCAGGAAAATCACCCCTCCTCTGCTCAGATACAGACCAAGGAGAACACAGATGAGTCTGAGCTGGTCTGTTTTGATTTTATTATTCTGCCAGATATACATTTTTTAAAAATGTAATCATTAGAGCAGTCCATTGCCACAGGAAAATGAGCTTAAGTGATCTTCCAGAATTGCTTTCCACATACCAGTCACTCTGACATGCAAAATAAACCTGTCTGAGTAAATCTGACCAAGTTTTTCTAATAAAAACATTGATGAAGTTCAGTTGAGCATTCAAAACAAATCAAGAGGAAGAGGAAGAAAGAAAAACTACATCTTCCAAAATTTCTAAAGTAAATGGATCTGAGGAGCAGACAAAGGCACACCACGAGAACGGGCGTGCGTCCGAACTCTGTGTTGTTTGAGCCACAAACAGGACATTTCCTTTCCTAGTCAAGTAAAGCAACCTGGGACACCCTCAGCTTCTGATGCTCGTCCGCACTGATGAGCGATGGTGGCTGGGGGGAGTAAGCGGGCATGGTGGAAGAGAAGGGCCAATATGGGTCACCGCGATGACAAGTCTCCAAGAGCAACTTTTCCCTTTCAACAACAGAGAACATGAAAAACAACGTCTACTCAACATTATATGCAACGCCTGAGGAAGACAAAAGGGAACTTGGAAGGTCAAAGCTTCATAACGCTGTGCGGCATCTTCTACAGCAGCTTCTCATTCAGGGGAGACACTTACCCCAAAGACACGAACGCACTTCCGTCACCGTCTGAGTCGGCTGTACACATTTCATTTCTTTAGCTCTGAGTTTTCTGATTCTTTCTTGAAAACACCAAGGTCCCCCCCATCAAGCAGCTAGTGTCCTGACGCAAAGGTTCTCAACTTTAGAAAGCTCTCATGGAGAGACGTAGCTCTCTGGGAAGACAGGAACGTCATCCATTCTCTCCAGCAGTTAGAGAATAACCATTTATTTATTATTAACGACAGGAATTAAGATGCTCAGGAAGGGGGAGCTGTGTTCCACACATTTTTTTAACCTTTGCTTTTAATTTTATGCCATTATATTCTTAAATTGCTTCACACAGCCCAGACGGTCCTGCAGCCCGACGCTGACCGTGGCCTCGACGAGAACCTACTTCCAGTTTGACAGCCAATCTGCTAGGTGACAACGTGAATGTAATCTGCCTTGAGGGACAAGAAGTGGTACATGAACAAATCACCATAACCACCAGACTGGCCGTTCATACAGTTTATTTCACTAGACTGCGATTTTATACACAGTATGAAGGGGTTTCCTGACAGCACACAGCTTACTTTCTGCACTGCTGAAGAACCAGTTTTTTTACATTGTATCATAGTACCCTATCATTAAAACATTATTCAGTGAATTTTTTCCAACTACATATAAACGGAGATTTACCACACACACGGTGCAAGAATGTCTTATAACATATTTGAATCACAAAATGCGAATCTAACATACGCCACTGTAATTAGAACACTACTGTAAAATTACGATGCCCCATGTTACACTTGCCAGGTTAGATTAATTTCTGTATACACCACAAAGCAGTTTGGTGGATAACTTCTGATAATGGGCAGCAGCTTTTAACTATGATTTCAAGAGAAATCTTTTAAGAATCAGAATTCTGAATTTTAAAAACTTCTTCCTTTATGTGTTCAGTATTCTCAGAATCAAAATGGGACATTTTTAAATTTATAGTCTCTAAAACAGAAGAATAAATTCAACCCTCCCTTAGCAGAAAGGCTGGGTTGTAATAATAGGCTTCGTAGAAACCTACAAAAAGCATTGCATTGTATGGGGAGTGGAAATGAGTTAAAAAAAAAAACACCATAAAATTTCTTTAAAAGCTTCTTGGATTCCTCTGGCCCTCCCCACCTCTGTCACACAGAGAAAGAAGACTGCATTACAAGGGACGATGTTTCCACGAAATGACGTTCTAAAGAAAATGTATGTAAACAAGGCAGAGAGAAAGATGTCTTCATTTTCCCATTTTGTGGAGCGGGGCGGTGGGATGACATCAGTTAAAAAAGAAATAGAACTCCTTAATCAAAGAACCACTTTATTACACACAAAACAGCTTGGGATAATTGCTGGAAATTTCTCATGTGTTTCCTTTTCTTTCCCCCAAAGTTTGAGAATGTTTGAAAGTTCAATAAATAGTAGAAAAATAATCCTTTACTTAGAAATTTTGAGATGCATCATTTAGAGCTTAACATGAGTTCCCTACAGCAATTGTGGTACCCAGGTCCCACTGAGGAACAAAGTGATGTCTGGAGAGCCCACGCTTCTTCTGGATGCGACACGTTCCCGGTCTCCGGGGGAGATTTTTCTCTCTTCCAGTTAAGGAGAGCTCAAGGCTTCTGGCTCCGCAGAACATTCCTCTGGCTCAGCTGAACGAAGCTTCCCAATGTTTCATTTACAGGTCTCGTCTCCGTGTTTGGAGGTTTGCCTTCTGTTCCATTCCGTTAGCGTCATGGCAGGTTCATTAATCAGGCTTATTTCCCCTCCATCTCAGAACCAGCCTCGCATCTTCACAGATGCGATTTTGTTGTCGTCGCTCTTGTTCTGAAACATGGCAGCAGGCAGAAAACGAGTGAACCGACGCTGGAGAAAGCACAAACACCAGGGGTCTCTTGCTGTGGATTTGACGCCGGCTCTCTTTGCCTCCAGAACGTTCTGGGTCTCCCAGCTCCCGTCTTCTCCGGGAGGACGAGGAGACCGTCAGCACTCCGCATCGACGGTGTGTACTGTCACGGCTGCCTGGAGGTGGTGGCTGTGATGCAGCGTGGGGTGATGCAGGCGGCAGTGGTGGGACTTGTGACTCAGGAGGGCGGCAGTCTGCGGGGGGGTGTCCAGGTCCAGATCCTCGTCGTGGTTTCCCACATCGACGCCCGCCGACAGGGGGTCGTTGTTGCATGGGGGATTTTCGCTGTCTTCCTGTGGGCTCATGGTGCTGTAACCTAGAAAATGAACAGAACAGGCAGCTGAGGGCTTCCAGGCGCAGGCAGGAGACGTCACTGAAGATTTCTAGGGCACTGGGAGGCGCTCCTGTCTGTGCTACGTCAGTGCGGACCGTCAGCAGACGCTGGACGGACTTATTTTTAATGAGATCTTCTAACCGCATTTTTCTTAGAACAGTTACACAATAAATACATTTTAGATGACTGAGAAAGCATAGATAAGAAAAAAAAAAAAAAAGAACGCTTTCCCCAAACCTCCAAATTAACAAAACAAAAATTAAAATCACCTCACATCCCATCTGGTCCACAGATACCCAGCACTGACTTGTGGGCAACTATCCTCTTACACTTTTCCTCGAGATAAGATTAAGACTGTTTTTCATTTTAAAGAAAAAAAAAAAAAGGCAGTTTTAAGAAAAACATCCTAACAGGACTCAGATCAGTCAGGGGCTGGTGGGAAAGCTGGGCTGCAAAATGCCCAAGTGTGATGCCACAGCAAGACAACAGCGACGACCTGCACACCTGCTCCCCGGCAGGCACTGGCCTCCAGCAGTTCCTGCCTACCCATGAGGCATGCGTTCTAGCATCCATTTTACAGGCGAGGGACGTGATGATCAGAGACATCAACGAACTCGTCTAAAGTTCCAGGACCCAGTGAAACGCTACCTCCACACACACACCCCACAGCAACTGGCAGAAGCATCAACCGTTCTCTGAGTAAGCTGGCTCACTGTATTTAGAGATTAATTTCTTTTGGTATTCTAAGTAATAGATGTTTCAAAAGAAAATGCCCTTGCTGATCAAAGGATTCCATTCCACGAACCCTGGCATGTTTTTAAATATTGCAAAAATCCCCTTCTAAAATTTTGAGAAGTGACAGCTCATTAATATTTCCGCTGCATCTACAGTTAGCATCAATCAGCACTCAGCCGTGAGGAGTGCGAGTCACATTTGCGGCTGCAGAATTGATGCGCTTGCATACAGCCAAGCAGGAATGGTTTGTGGTTGAAAATCTATGTTCTGTGCAAAAGGAGAAAGGCAATTCTCTGTCCTCAATGAATCATTTCTCAAATGACAGGATTATTTCAGTCAGTCCAACTCAACACGTATTTCTTGGGCACATACTATGGACCCGACACTGTGTTGGGCATCACAGCAGACGTCAGGACGAAAACCTGGTCCCTGCACAAAGGAGCTGAAAGGCTAGTGCTTGAGAAATAAAACAAGGACAAGCACAACTCAATTCAATTATTCATTTACTGAAGACGGTTTTGGGGCTGGAGGCAGAGACTATGAAACATGGATAAGAGATGGCTCTTTTCCTCAAGGATTTCACAACCGAGTATGAAACAGATATTCATGAAGCTGGGTTCACTCTAATGCAGATAATGGTAAATGCTATAATGGCAATCCAGAAGAGGGAGCAACTAATTCCGACTGGGGGAATTGGAAAGCATCACAGAAGAAGGCATATTTTAGTCGGGCTTCAGTGGATGAATAGGAGTTTGCTAAGTGACTATGAGCAAGGGAACAGGTGAGCAGAGCCCCACGGGGTGCAAGTGAGGCCGTCCTGTACCCCATGGCCACGAGGAGTGCGAGCAGTAGCTGAGAACAGGGCAGGTGGAAGGTGGAAAGGTCAGGTCAGAAAGCCACAGCAAAGCGTAGAAAAGGGAGAGAGATTTTGAGTAGACTGAAAAAAAAATGCATGATCATTTCTGTGTTTTAAAGAGTTCTGGTAGCAATTTGGAAGATGAATAAAAAGGAGAGGAAGGGGGCAGTTAGGTTATTGCAACAGCCCAGAGGAGAGATGGAGAATTAAGACTAAGGGTACGGGATCGGACAGACTGAAATGCTACCTCGGGGTGGAAACAATAGAAGCTGGTTAGCAGCTGGGGGTTGCGGGGGGTGAGGGGTGGTTAAAGGGGACAGCAGCTTGAGTCAGGACGGTAAGAGATGGAGACTTGGAGATCCCGAGTCCCGGGGAAGAAAATGAACATTTTTGGGGGGCACATCTTGATTTTGAGAGTCTGTGCCTCACATACGTGATGTCACGAGAGTCAGGGTGGAAGCGGGAGGTCACCGATGTGTGTCTATCATTCTTGATGCCCTCTGGTGCCAGGGGCCAGGCTGGCGGCTCAACAGAAAGAGGGGTAAGGGGAGGCCCAGCTCCTGAGAAGCCCAGTCAGGATGGGGAAAGACACCGGAAGGACCAGCAAAGCAGGTTAATGCAGCTGAGGACACCTGAGGAGGTGACCCTTCAGGCAGCCCGGAGGGGAGAGAAGGGCTTCATCAGGTAGAGAGGAGTAGAGAGGTGCTGCGGGTGGAGAGGCGAGCACAGACACAGCAGCCTGGAAGATGCCAGCGCATCTCGGGAAGGGTGACAAGCTCGATGGGTAAGAGGAAGAAGCAGGAGATGCGGCTGGAGATGCAGTGGGACAGGCAGGGTCAGACCAGATCAAGAAGGCTGTCAAAGCAATGAGCTAGGATTTAGTGACAGTCAAGGGCAGGTGGGGTGGGTGGGTGGCAGTGACATGATGTGTGCTTTAAGAGGATCTCTTGGGGCAATGAGGAGGCTGGACAAGGAAGGAGGGATCAGAGGCTCAGAGGACAGGGGGCGGGGGCCTGGGGCCTGAGGAGATGGCAAGGACCTGAAGTAGGATGGGAGCAGCGTTTGACTGGAGCAAGCAGCTGGCTTCAAGAGGCTGTTCCAGTGCAGAGTAGGCTGGATCCGGTGACCAAACGGCCTTGTCTGGGGAAGATGCCAGGAGGACTGCCATCCTCGGGTAAGGTCAAGGTTTCCCGGTTCAGAAGCTGGGCAAACAGTGATGCCTTTACCCAAGATTAAGAGATCAGGAGCCAGAATGAGTCTCTCCGCTTTGGCAGCACCAAGCCTAGAATGTGCTGTAGGCTCCATCTCAGCTACAAAGTGCTATGGATGCTGAAACCACCTTATGCTCCACACGTACGGGACTAAAGAAGAAAACACGGCTTTAGAAAAAACCTCTGTGCCTGTGTTGATTATTTTCAGTTAACTTTTAGTGTTAGGCTGTCTCCATCTTGTCTCCAAATACTCCTGGATGGCTTCCTATCTCTGCTCATTTACAAGCACCCACAGTAACTGATAATTCACTTTCACATTCACAGCGTAAAATGCACGGCGGTCCTTCTGCCTGGCTCACCCTCCCACTTTCCCGCATCTTGCTGTTGTGCTTTGTGCCTCAGTCTGAAGGTCTTCTCTGGGAAGCCGTCCCAACCACCCCCGCCCCCCGGCTCTGCCAACCCACATGGGTCTGGTGCCTCTTCTATGAGTTCGAACGGCTTTCTCTGCACATCTCTGTCTTAGATTTTGCTGTATTACAATAAAATATAGGGCTGTCTTGTCCATTAGCAAATTCTTTCTTAAAGCACAAGGACTTATTTACCTCAGTCCTCCTAGTATTCAACACAATCCGTCATGCAAAGGAGGTATTAATTAAAAAAAACTCACCTACTCTATTCCCAAAGCTGGCCCGAGTGAATTTGCTTAGTTATCTGTGTTCTGTCTGCTGTCATTCACCCGAGCATTCACTGGGCCCTGCCCAGGGGTTCTGAGTCCAAGGATGCTCTGAACCCGGCTGCTTGCAGGCCCAGGGTTGGTGATGGTGCAGCTGTCCCCGAGGCAACGGAGGGCACCCCCATTTCTCCTGATGTGTTCAGATAAGAACCCTCAGCAGGGGCCCTTCCAAAGGGAACCCCTGGCTCTGGGGCCATTTCGTATAATTTCTCAGTGTGATACTATTGCTCAACCCCTCGGTAACTTACTCAGGCCTCCTCTTATCTCAGTAATTAATGAAAATCTGGAGGGAGGAAGCAGAAAGCTGTGAAGCAGCAGGAGAAAGCCAGACACATGCTCTCCCTTCGCAAATTAATGGAGTGTTTACTCAGTGCCAGGCAGTTCTGAGTGCTGGCAGCAGTGACGAAGACAGGCTGGTCTCTGACTCACGGAGGAGAAAGCGCTATTTAAAACACAAAGGATATTCACAGGCACTTTCAAAGGAAAAATAACTTTACTATTCAAAGTGGATGCAGAAAAGTCTATGCAAAGAGGATCTTGAGTGAGAAACAGGCTTGAGGAAGGAGACCAGGCCCCCATTAAGAATGGAAGAGTACTCTAGGCTTCTGCTTCTGTTTTTATCTGATGGCTCCTAAGAAGCGTTCTGCATGGTTAGGGACATTGGGTCCCGCGGGGGACTCACCACCTTGTGGTCACAGAGAGTAACTGCAGGAGAGTATCCGGGCATCTCTGGAAAGTGGTCCTGGGCTGCGCTACCAGCTTCAGACCAGGTTTTCAAGGTTCAGCATTTGCCTTGAGTCTTTTGGAATATGCTTCGCTAGGAGGAATTTTCCTTTCACAAGGAAAAAATGTTGCTTAACACACACTTGCGTGAAGTTTCCAATGTGATGGTAACCAAAACACAGATTCACAGGAACAAATATATATTGGTGGTTTTTAACTTAAAAATAAGCCAGTTGATGATGAGATAGAACATGATATTTTCAAGAGAAATAATGGGCAAAGCAGATGTATAATTACAAGCACAGACAGGTGCTAGCTGTTTCTAAGCTCCCCTGCGAGGGTAACAGTTAATAGTTGAGCTCTGAAAACAGTCATTCCAAGTGGTCCCAGAATAGTGACAGAATGATTCTACTTTTCAAAAAGGATTCTTATTTTGAGCAGTTTTTTTCAACAAACAAATTAAAATTAGATTCATTTGAAATACAAAACTCTGTTGGCCACATGAAATACTTCTAAATAAAAATGCAGCCTGAAATCTCCAAATTTAGCTTGTTAACAGTCGGCTTCAATTCCAGGAATATCACAGCTCTGAACCATACCACAAGTCTAGTCTGCTCAGTACAAACTTATACATTTATATTTTTAATTCTTTTGAGTTTCCTTTTGTGTATCAGATCCAAGGACTCATGTGGAAATATGCTCTCCGGTAGCACAGAGCATGTGCTGTGACCCTACCAGCTCAAGGGTCGGCACCAGCGCCACCTCCCCACTGGCGTCGTCCATGATTTACTTGCAGATAAACTTGAACTCTCTCCCCAACTTCTTTGTCCCCTCTTTTAAGGAAGCTGTCACAGGCAGCCTTTCATCAGTCTTATGAATGCATGCATTTGTTTACAGGTTCCTCCTAGATTGTAAATTCCCTGAGGGCAGAGTCGGCATGGAGGCGGGAGGGCCACCCTGAGCTCCTCCCTGCCATATGTGATTTCACTTCACCCTCACGACAGCTTTACCAGGTAGGAATTTCTAATCTCGTTTTAATAATTAGGAAGCTGAGGTCCAAAGTAGCTTCACTAAGTCTCAGCTTGCAGAGAGGGAGAGAGGCGGGATGCTAGGCGACCTCTCCCTGACCCTTTCTGATAAGCAATCTGCTGCCTCAGAGATGCTGTCCGTCCTTCTCCAGCTCCCTCCCTGTGCCCAGCAAACAGCAGACGCCCAGTCCCCTCACCAAACAGGAGATGAGCAAGAGGCATGCAGACAGAACAATCAGATTAGATCTTTGTTTTCATGTGTACCCATGGCTTATCCTCCAGGCATTACAGGGACATTAACCGGATGCTGCCAATTGTAGTGACCCGCCGTGCAGGTGCACAGATGTGACAACATGCAGTTAAATGCAACCGATTCTGTGGTGCATTTGGAATTTTGTCGAATGTCACTGTCTTCCAGTTCTTTTGGTGGTGCATTCTGTCTGCACGAGAAACTATTTTTCATTCCTTGGGGATAACAGGGATCCAATTATTGTGAAAAATGAAAGAAAGCAAGCCCTTAGCTAGAAGCCCTGGCTTTCAGATACTGATGCTGCTGCTCTCCTCCTTTTATCTCAGCTGTTGCTTCATCTGCCATTTTACTAAGACGACGGGACTGCTAATGGAACAGCATAACCTTGCTCAGAATTCCAGCTTTGTGTTCAAGCAATTTCTGGGGCGGTGGGGGGGGGAATGGACGAGAAAGGATTCAGAATTTCTGCTGAATAAGAAATTATTTCTGTTGAACTTTAGTAGCCTCAAACCTGTTTTATTATTCAAAGGAGAAGAGCCACAGAACTGCCTGGCAGAACGAATTTATGCAGGTTCAAAGGTTTTCAGGGAAAAAAGGCAGAAAGTCAAAGAAACTGAAAAATTTAAGTTGTGCTTTGCCTCTCCATAGAAACCCAGAGTTTCTATTTAGTTGGTGGGAACAATGTCATTCAAAGCCCAAATTAAGAGTCTCCAACTTACAAACCAGAGCTTTGGCTTCTCCTATTTTCCAAAGGGCGTTGGAATCTCCAGCTGTCGTGTAAAAGGCAGTCGTGGCTGCTCTGCTGAATATCTACTCCTAAATTTTTTAGCACAGGTGTGGGAGCACACTGTTTGAAGACATTTTTTTTTTTTCCAGGGTAGATGTGGAGAAAGCAGAGTCAAAAAGGCATAGATGCATTATATATGCATTAAAAAAAACCCTGATTCTGGGAAGAAAATAAAGATTTCTGGAAAATTAAACAGCTCTATGAAAAATAAAAAGGTTTTACCATCATAGGAAAGTCCTTCCGCTCCTGACATGTTTTCGTGGGACTGTGGCAGGGGCACTCAGAGAGCAGGATTCACCTGCTGTTCTCCATGACAACAAGCCACACAATGCTGAGAAGGCGAGAAGGCACGTGGCGGCCAGGTCTTCAGCAGCACATGTGGACTTTATAATCTGTAGCTCAGTTAGCACTCGGCGCCTCTTCACAGCTAAGCCCCAACCCTTTGTGATCACCTCACAGGCACTTTACACAACTCCACAACTTTGTACACCCTGGTCCCTTTGCCCCTAACTCTTCTTCAACTTTCCTTCAAGCCTCAGTGCAAACGTTGTCCCTTTGGTGAGGACTTCTCTGAGCCTCCCAGGTAAGGCTGGAGGTCACGGCCAGGGAATGCCAGAGGGCAGCATGGACTCTCGTGTGCCCCAAGAGTATGCGACTAAGAGAGCCCGTAACAATGCTGGGGTCTGCCAACCAACAACACCCGGTGCTAGGACCCATGAGGATGCCAACCTCCTGAGAGTCACGTGGAGTGGTCAGCAGGCTCCATAAATAATCTAAATCCTCATTTATGGAGAAAACCCAGGAAGCGATCTGTGCACCCAGAGTCATCTCACTTATGCCTGGGAGTGCTGAGACGTAAGCAAAACTACCCTTGGGCTCTTAGAAATGTGTCATGTTGGAATGTGTCTTTTTGGAAAACTATGTCAAAAACAATTCACTTGAGTACAGAAGAGGAGAGAGAGAGAAGGGTGGGTGTGAGGACCAGCCCACAAGAGGACACCAGGTTCCTCCGGTCCTCAAATGCAGAAGGCTAAACCTTACCATGGTCACTCTCTGTTCCCGATCGACCCCAGTAGCGACGCCTCCTCTCTGGACTGTGTGCGTGTCGTTCGATGACTGCGGCTATAAACCGAGTATTGCTGACTGTGGGAAGGCAAGGATGGTTAGTCACTCCTAGGCCAGTAGCTTTATTGTTTCAAGCACACTGGCTCTGAGCAGCCCATTCACACGTTGGGGGAGTGTTCTTTGGAGAGTTACAATAGTATTTTTTTTTTTTTTTTTAAGATTCTGAGGATTAGGGAGTTGCTTTTAGATCCAGGGCAGGGAAAGGCCCCTAATTACATGTCTCCATGGAACAAGCATCCAACAAGCATCAAGAAGATGGCACTAAGCGGCTGGAGGCCAGGCTGTCTCAACACTCATAGAACTCTCTTTTGATAAAGAAATGCTCTTTTTTCCCCCTGAGTTGTATACATTAGTTAAGGGATTACAAAAACGCATACCTGCTGATTCCTTTTCTAAAATACTACACTGGAAGGTGAGAGGAGGATGAGGAAAAGGGAGGGTGAGGGGTTTTAGACAAAAGAACTTAACGTAAAAAAGAACATCATAAAATCTTTTGAGATTTTCTCAAACCAAGCAAACACCCATACTTACTCCGAATGAAAATGGGAGGAAAAAAAAAAAAACCCCATCGTGTCGAGGCTTCTTAAATTTTAATATAAGCCAAAAGGATATAAGACAGAATACTTATTCTGGACCAGCCTCCCGCTGACACATTCTGCAGCGAGGCAGCCGGAACACTCACTGATGCCTCTGTCTTCGTGGCTGTCGTCGTCCCTTTCATCTCTGTCATTCTCCAGGTTGGACATACGCACTGACATTTCTACCCATCATTAAAAAGAGAGAAACATGACTATTTAATCAAACAAAATCACCCGCTTTAATACCCCGCAGAGCGCTCGTTTGATGGCTGGGTGACAGCCTTCCATCAGGATCTAGTCCTGTCTCGGAAAAGGATGCACTGATGCCCCATCTAGTTTTTTTTTTTTTTTTTTAAAGAGGAGGGAGAAGGAATCAGAAGAGGGGGAGAATAGGAGCAAATAATCGAGAGAGGCACCTGAAAGGCATCTCTGAAGACAGAGGAGAAAAGAGGCTGATAGAAGCTAACAGACCTTTAATTCTCTCCTAATGTCCCTGAGACAGAAGGAAGGGGTCTAAAACCATGGCTGACTGTGCTGACAAACGGTGTTACAAAGCCTGTGAAAGGCCAGGCACAAGGTCACACGGAGGGCAGTCATCCTCCGCCTAACTGAATATCGCCAAGGGGAGGGCGCCTCATGATGAGCCCGGCCCGGCACTAAATCCGGCAACATTATCCCCTGATCCCCATCAGGACTGCGGCCACAGTGAAACATTCCAGCATCAACTGGTCTCTCCCGCTGCCAGGGGGAGCTCGGAGGCTCCTGACCGAGCCCAGGAAGAACGATGAGTGAGCCTCATCTCCATAAAGGTTAGGGCCACACATCCCAGGGGCTTTCAGGGAGGATGGGGATGGTCATTAAAAGGTTTGTCCCTTGTAAGTGAGCACAGACACGACATTTAAGTCTTGGTATTGAAGCCACGGTTACAGATGAACCATTGCGTACGTGACTTCTATCACATATCCCGCTTTAAGAGATGTGATTGCTCCTTCGAACGTGTGCTCATTCACACTATTTACTGACAGCTGCAATAGGACAGATCCACACTACTGCCAAGAGTGACTTGGGTATCTTTGGTCCACTTGTCTTTTTTGGAACAGCAAGGACAGCACATCTGAGCTTAGTGAAGAATAAAATTTCCCTCTCAGCATCCCGGCTGCCCTGACCGGCTTATTGCAGAGGCAGGCTGTGTCGGGCCAACGCTGTGTAGGAAAAGACAGGATCCAGAGATTTTCTGGGGAATCAAAATGGAGCCCACAGGGTTTAGGCACTGAAGAACGAGCTCTGGGCCACAGGCTTTGGCGACTTCGGAATTGACTCCATGGAAGCCAAAAATGTAGCACTGTCTTACACTTGCTTAGAGGCTCACAAAACTGGCCACGGTCCCTCCAGCCTTGGAACAACCTAAGGAAGGCCACTGCCTCCTGGAGGAGCCTTGGGATTCATCTCCGGGCTCACCTTGGGCAGCGAGAGGCGACATATGCTGATGACTCCGGCGATGGATCTGATGGCGGTAGGCATACACAGCAAGGACCAGGACCATGATGCAGCCCATGATGCCTCCAGCCACGGGGCCCACGGGGGCGCTTTTAATCATGTTCAATGTGACAACCTCGTCACCTTCATTAAAATAAACAAACAGATGTCTCTTGTCAAGATTTCCCAAGTGTGGTAGGAGGTAGGGATGGGGGTGAGATGGGAGGGAAGAGAGCGGGAAGGGGTTGGGGGAAGCGAAGTAAGAACAGTGCTTTGAGCTGTGAAGTCAAGACCCACCAGGAGCGGGGAGCAGTGGCTTCATCTAGTCCTTGGTTCTCAAATTAAATGCTGCTTGCTCAGCAGAGCGAGAGCACCATGGGCAAGCGCAGGTGGAACCAGCGTGTCAACGGGACTCACTCACCAGGCGGTGCCCGGTGCAAAGAGGCCCGCCCCCTGAGTGTGGGCTCCTCGTGGGAGACAGGACACCCAGTACAGAGGGGAGGGCCACCTGGGCCTCATGTGACTGGTCTGCCACAATAAATGGCACCGGGTACAATCAATATGTACTAAAAAGATCATATTTCAAAGCTTATGGGGTCTCTTTAACACCTTCTTTGGACTTTTCAGACAGGAAACTGCAGGTGGGCGTATAAAGGGACTTCTTCGAGAAAGGTCACTTCAGCTGTGTTCCACTGAGTCAGGAGTAACATGCGAGCTCTGAGCCCTCTTCCCACAGGAGTTTTTCTTATTGTATAGACAGGCTAACTCGGGGAGACGTTAAAACTCAAGGTATTCACTAACGATTTAAATAATTGCCTCACTTGTCAGCTGAGCTTTAGGAGCTTGTGCTAACTCCAGAAAGACACCAAAAAAACCTCGCTGAGGGATGCAGGTAGTGTTTTTGGGGTCTTCGGGCCTGATCCCAGAGGCGTCCTTCCCTACCGTGTCCCTGTGCCCCACCCTCAGCTATTCCAGCTGCATTGGGTAACGCTGGCTTCTGCTGACCCCAAGGCCCTAAATGATGGCTTCTGCCTTGTAAAAGTGGGGAGGGAAGGCTGCAGAGGGAAATAGACGTGCAGGGCAGTCTGCCCGCTGTCGGCCCTGCACTGACCATTGGGATACGCATCCACACAAATTGCAGAGTGCAGCCATGCGGAAATCAGGCCCACAGTTCTCAGAACAAGCTTTAGGGGAATGCATTCCAGGCTTGCACAATTTGGCAGGACAGATGGCTGCTCACTCTGCACAGAATATCTAGCCAGCTTCGAAGGTAATTATCTGCCTTGGTTTTGTAACTAAAAACTACTGGCAGAGGAACCAGGAAAGGAGAGATCATTTTAAGACTGTTGACATCCACATGGGCAGGAAAATGTGTATTCAAGAATTAAATTATTATGGGTTCCCAACAAACATACCTATTGCTCCCATGTCATCAACGTAGGGACTTTTGGCTCCCACGATCCCTCCAAAGCATTCTTTCTGGGGAGCGCAGTAAGATTTGTCCAGGTGAGTCTTCCCATCGCTGTCCACCATGCACCATTCACAGTCCAGCACCCCGAAACAGTCCCTGCCAGAAAGACGACGCCCAGTGTCCCAGGCAGGGGAGAGCACGTGGGCTTGGGCATCAGACTGCTCTCAAGAGCTCCAGCACCTGCTGGTGCTGGAACTCCCTGAGCGCTATTTTCCTTTCCTTATAAAATGAGAAAAGCAAAGGTCTGCTGGCGATAGCTGTTTTATGTCCCTCAACAACTTGCAAACAACAGAAGTACAACTGCCCTCTGTGAATCACACCGTGAAATCCACACATCACGGGTTAGTGCAGGATTATTCAAAACCATCTTAAAAGACCAAATGGCCCCAGGTTTGTTAGACTTTGGTCTAACATCCCCCAATTCATAAAAAAAAAAAAAAAAAAAAAAAGGAAGGAAAGAAAAAATGGTCAAACAAGTCTGGGAAATACTAGATAAGTTAAACAGATTCCTTACCCCCCATTTCTTAGGACTTTTAATAGGTTAAGCGTATCAGGACTCTCTAAGAGAACACACGCAGTATTTCTCAAACTTAATTGACTTTGGGTTACTGCACAACATCTCAAATTAATTTATCTGATGCCCTGTCATTCCTTTGCCAAAACATACACCAGGAGTAGAATTGACTGCCCCCTTCTACCCACTGTTTGATCAAATGACAGCCTACAGTGACAACAGGCGAATCACCCCACCCCCAGCCCTTTAGTCTGCCACAGCCACCGTTCCTGTGCTGTCTAGTTCCAAACATCCTAAGGAGGAGGGGAGGGAACAGAGACACGGAGGTTTTAGTTCTCAAAACTACCACAAAGCAAATCTGCTTTCTACAGATGAATGCTGAGGAGCTTCCATGTATCACACATGCAGCCTTGGCCACTGGGTTCTGGTTCTGCAGCCCTTGCATCCCTGCCTCTTGCCCTTGCTTCTTCAGGCCATGTCCCCTCACACATCTGTCCTCATATTTATTGCAAGAAAACCTTTCCCATCCACAGACGAGGCTACTAACACGGTACAGATGACAAGTAGCTGTAACAAGTGGACAGCAGACCACCTTAAACCTGGTGGATAAAGGCTTGCAGAAATCAGTTTGGGATCCAAAAAGTCGACACAGCTTCTAAAACATCAAGGATGGGAAGGATGAATATCAACTGGAAAAGCTCGGTGAGGCTGCTGGTCACCACCCTTTACGAGGTTCTGTTCCCACAGTCATCGTGTTGACATAAAATGAGCCCTGGGCATGGCTTACCCACTCTCCATCCTCTGATTGCACCTGCTGTTGACACACTGGTGGAGAGCTTCCTGCAGGCCAGGGTCAATGGCTGTGTATGTCACCGGCTCCTGGTGGACCTCGCAACTTGGGTTTCTAGGCAGGAGCAAGTCTGGGGTTAGGACCAATCCCACGCGCATGCCAAACTGAGCATGCCTCTGGGCCCACAGTGTCAGGCAGATCTGGGTCTGAATCCTGGCTTCACTGCTTAGCTATAGGAAACCTTGGGCCAATTGCTTAAGTACTCTGAGCTTCAATTTGTTTATCTTTATGCCCAATATAAATAATATCAAAAAACTAGAAAGTCATAAATATTCAATAAAATAAGAATGCATACAATCAAAGGTGAACATTATTGCCCCTCACTCACCATTCTAAATCTTACTTTTCAGACGTAACCACCGTTAACAGTTTCATGAAGGTCCTTTTAGACATTTTTGCTATGCCTGAACAAACATATACTAGTATACGTGTGGCACATAACATTCTTTCTTTCAAGTCTAGAGAAGGGACTCACTACAATTTATTTAACTGGTCTTAAAATTTGTCACTAATATAAATAATGCTATATTAGGTGTTAGCACGTGTGCGTGTGTGTGAAAGGTACCTACATATTTATCAAGTTAACCCTGTGAAAACTAAGTGACTTAATGTGCATAGAGTGTTTGGCACACAGTAGGCACTTAGTTAAAGTGTGTAACAGTCTCATATTTTTCGTATGTAGCACACATCCTCTTAACAGTTTGACCGCAATTGAATTTAAACCTGAAAGCGGACTTCATTTTAAGGCACTACCAAGCTTGAAATCTTGCTCACCGAGCAGTTTCACCATTAGAACAAATCATCTTCTTATACCCCAACCCAAACCAAATGGATAAACAAGACTCCCAGTAAGTGTGTGTATATATATATGTACACACATATTTTGTCTACACAGATACCTATATATACACACACACACATATTTTTTGTCTACACACACACATGTACATATGTGTGTGTATATATATCTATATACACACACATATTTTACCGGTTCTCTGCGTTGGTTAGGTTGCCAGTGCACTCATTGACCTCTAGAGGGCACTCACAGGGACATTCGCATTCATTCTGCTCCATTCTGAAAAGCAAAAACAAAGTTACTATGCAGACTGTAGACAGCAAACTATATATTGTATACCCACTAAGGGGAGCAAAAGAAAGAAACCTCGAGCTAGTTAAAAGGGACAGTAAAAAGGAAGTCATGACCACGGTTTAATTACACAACTGGCCTCAATTCACTGCTCTGTGGACATGGATGCTGCAAACAGCACAGCTCTAAATGCTTCTGTAACCAGGACTTGCCACCCCAGCATTTTGTTTATTTTGCAGATGCCGCTTCAAAATGACTGGCATCAGTTAAAATATTCAACAGGGTGGTAAACGGAGAACACGATCCCTCTCGTTTTCACCGGTGACAGTTGAGACAGAGCCGGTCCACCATGCTGCAGGCACAGAAGGCGAGGGAGTCGCACGTCTCGTTGACGATGCCGACAAACGCGTTGGTCCCCGGGATCCTGGCCAGTCTGTACTTAGAACAGTGGCTGCCATGCACAAGGTTCGTCAAGTCCCCCTGTAGACAACCAAAGTGTCAGAAGTGGCAGACAACAATGCACAGACTCAGCCCTACTGTGGTGAAAACCCTTCAACCATCTGCTCCAAATAGCCTGCAACGAAACTTCGTTTCTTTCTCATTACAAAAGCAGTCTTCAGTCACTGTTAAATATTTGGAAAATAAAAAATTTTCATAATACCATCAGTCAGAGATAATTCTCATTTAACAGTTGTGCATATATTTTTATTCTTTTACCTATGCTTACACAGATAAAATTTTTATAGCTTGTTTTGTAATCTTTCTTTTTTAACATGTAACAATATATCATAAGATGCAAATAACTGCAGGAAGCGAGGACTGACAACTTTCAGGAACGGAATAGTTTAAAATTCATTCAAAAGCAAACCTAATCAACCAGAAAGCACACATTCCCACCCCCCACCGGATAACAAAGCTCTCGTGTTCTAGCACTATAAAATTCCTTAAAAACCACTCTTTAAGAGGCCAGTTCCTGATTCCAGAATATTTAAACAATCCAACTTAAGTAATCATCCTCTACTTTCTATAAAAAGAAAATGCGATGGGCCAGCTTCTTCAAACACCATATTTGTCTACCATATTAGAAAACCAAAGATCCAAAAGCAGCATTGTCAAGTTGAGCATGATCATTTGTTTCTGCACGTGTGTCATCTGGAAGCGCCCATTATTTAATCCCACACTTGTTTCCACGCTGGTCATCCCTTCCACGTGCATGGTGAGGGGAAGCTTAACTCTGAGGGGCACAGCATGGCACGGGTTCTCAGAGGTCTAGAGGAATTTCCTCCTGCCTGGAAGGTGCCCGCCTCTACAGTACAAGCAACAACAAACGCTGATCACCCGGTTAGCTCCAATACCCAGGAACGCTCCAATTCCATTTTGGAATAACTCGGGCTGTTAAGAAATTATTCTAATTCATATTCCACTAAAATTTGCGTTTCTGAAAAATTTCTACCAGCGTATTCTGGTAGAAATCCTTTGTCTGCCGAAGACTCATGAAATCATTGTACAAATGATGGAAGACAGTCAGTCAGACTTTCATGTGTCAGCCTTACCTGCAGCCTCCCTCTGATGACAGTCAAGTCTGTCAACGCCCCTTTAAGGAGGGCGCTCCCCAGAACGGTATGGGGTCTGAATAGAGTAATAGTGACTTCCCTTGCTTTGAACACACTGTCCTATTAATATGTTTATTTGTAAAACTCTTCTCTCCCAGACAACTGTTTTTGCAAGCGCTTTCGTTGAGACCAACTTTAGGATCTTCATTTAACCTTAAAACATCTTTTAAAAAAATAATAACTACACATTTAATGATATAAATACCTACTCTAAATAAAAAGTTACTTCTTGTGAATAACTTTTTGAATATTGGATCTGTCATTAACCATTTTTAGTTTTCTTCCAGCTAGGATTATTTACAAATTAATAAGACTATCCTTAAGATTTTAATCATATCCAGGTAAGTATGCAGCACCTCAAATCATATAGAGTATTCCAAGCTAAAAAAAAGAAATTATTTTCAGATCATCTACATGAGAGCTGCCAACTAACAGGACAGATGACCAAGAAGTGACTAATTCGGCTTTAAGGAGACTGAGCACACTCCAGAAGACAGGAAGAGAGAACCACATGGTGCCACGGATATTTATACAGGAGTGTGGGAACAGACTTCAGCAGACATTTCAAAGGGCGTACCCTGGGTGCGTCTTTAAACAAACAAAACCAAAGCAAAATACCAAGTGAGAGACCTTAAAACATCCACTTCTCCACTGTGGGGTTTATCTCCCACAACTGTCACGCTGCGGAGCGGGCCTGAGGTCCTGTTTGGTCCTATCATTCTACAACGCTAAGGCAACCAAACCTAAGCCGGGAGTCATGTTCAGACACTCGCCGTTATTCCATTTCACATTCCATCGTGGGACGGGATGGGACAGCGTTCAGGAACCAACTTACCACAAGGCTAGTGTTGAATTTGTAAAACCTCTGGACTGTCCTGTCACTGAAGCTGTTGCACAGGTTCTTCTTGACGAAGTTGGGGTGGTTCAGGATGTCATTTGCTACCAAGGGCTCCTGGCAAGGCCAAACAGAACAGAAGACAGACGCCGTGTAATTAACGAGCAGCGGGCTGCTGGAGCACTGAGCCATCCGCTGCGTGACAAATACCTTGTGGGTTATGTGCTGCTGTTCCACAGGTGCGTGTCCTTTGGGGTCAATGAGGGTTGGATGGGCCACCAGATAACCCCTGTCCTCCATTATGAAGCACCTGTACCAAAACAAGTGCCATTCCTCAGTCATGGAAGCTGTTTGTCTACACTTTCAGAGAGCATTTATCGTGCTAACCCCCAAACAAATGCATTTATTTCAGGCTCTCAATAAGTGTTCACTGAAAAAAATTTAGGAAGGCTGGCAGGCAGGCAGACAGATGCATTGTTCTTGAGGGGCTGGATCACCTGGCATCCAGGTCAAGGTGATAGAATTGCTCCTCACTCTGAGGTCACCCCCATAGTTCATTCAGAACGTGCCCACCCACTCCAAGTAAGATGGACTCGAAAATCTTTTCAAGGGTGTACAAGTGGGAAGTTTATCCTTTTTTCAGGAGGGAGACTCTGAAGAAAGTGGCCTTGAGTATTTATAGACACAAACTTTAAGTAAACCATACAATTTCTTCCTTTGATGATAAACATACATAAAATATGACATTCAGGAACACACAAAAATATATTTGATGGAAACACTAAATAAATAAAGCTAGACTTGTCGGATCCAGACTACAGTTAGTCCACATCCATCATAACAGTTTGCCGTGAATCCTGCACTTCCCTAGCAAGGGCCAGTGTGAAATTCAGCAGTGATATGAAGGGTGGGCTGTGAGATTGAAATAAGAAAGCTATTTTTAAAAGTGGCCTGCATGAAATCAAGGGGATGCCCTTGCTTTGATCAGACACGTTCCTTTGAAATTCTGGCGGCAGAGGCTTTTAGTTCCACGAGCCTCGTTCTGGGGAAATGTACAAGGGAACAGTCTAACCATCTGGAAATCTCATGAAGACTCGGGTTGAATAACTCAGTTGACATCAAAGGTACTACCCAACAGTACTCTCTGGTCTTTCTAGCACCTAAGAAACAGGAAACCTCTAATTACTGACTCCTAGGGAAATAAGAGCTTCTGGAGAATTCTGTGCCACAGTTACTCTCCTTGTTATGAGCCAAGTTTGTCTGTCTAAATCATGAATGGATGCATCTTAGAAAAATAAAAGGACGAAACCTTCTTAATAGAAGGCCCAGGTAAGGGTCTCCACTTCTGGTCTTGACCATGACAACGTGGTTGCCATTCAACTAGAGATGCTTGACCCTGTTTTCTTTGTATTTTGCAGCTGGATAGGAAATGGTGTCCCTGAAAGGCTTACCTTATTTTGTTGCCACCATCTTGGTTACAAACTGGTAATAAGTCCATCAGAACCTTGTAGAAGTATCTGAGTGTGAAGTCGATGCCCATCACAGCTACAGTGTGCCCGGAAGACAGCTGTGTACTTCATGTGGAAAAGATCCATGAAAACAAGAGGTGTCTCTTACTTACAGGTAAAAACTATGTTCATTCCTAAGGACATTGTATGGTTTCAGAAATACATGTCTGCCGTTCCTCTGCACTTCCCACCCCCATACAAATGATCAACTAAATGACTGATTTAGCCTAACAGGGAGACTCGATGAGAGAAAAATTTAAGACCAAAGGAGAACTTTCAAATCAGCCCAAACCATGGGCAGCTGCGGAATACGGGTAGTCTCAACTATAGATGTTCAGACAGTGGCTGGACTTTCTTTGGCAAGAATCTGGGGTTTGGGGGAATAGGCATCAGGTGTGAGGCTGGATGCAAGGCTACTATGGTTCCTTCCAACACGGAACCCTTAGACAAGGAACCTGAGCGATCCGCTTAGTTATTTCTTTCATTTTATAGATAAGAAAACCAAGATCTCAAAGGTTAACTGACTAGTGTAAGGTCACACAAAACAGTGAAAATAACGTCTCATTTTCTTTCTATAACACTAAGCCTGGTTCTATTCAAAACACAGCTCATGCTCTGGAACAAGGCTCTGCTGGTTCACAGGCCAGTCTGTCTCCATTCTAAAATGCTACTCTCAAAAAGAGGAATGCCAAGGAAGAGGATGTTGGGCAGTAGAACATGGCGCTTGTACCTTTTGGTTCTGGAATCAAGCATCTGGGGGAAAATTCTGGCCCTGCTGGTTTCTATCTATGTGGCTCCTGGGATGTTACTTAACCTTTCTAAGCCTCAAGTTTTTATCTGAAAATGGGGATAATAATAGTATCTACTTCATAAGGCTGTTATTGGGATTGAAGAAGATGGTGTTTATATTGCTTAACAAGCTGCCTAACATCGAAAACACCCAATAAGGAGATGTTCCTCTAAAGAAAATGAGACAGAGCTTAAAGCTCAGGCCTGGACAGAGAGTGAACTCATTCTTCTCCCAGAAATTGCGAGATATATCAGAAGCATGGACTTCTGACCTGGAACCTAGGGTCTTCTTAAAGTATGCTCATGGGTGGTTGGGGGGGGCTGGGGTTACTTGGTCAATGACCTCCTGTACTTCTGTGGCCGGGAATTTGCACGATTTACCCAACTTAAGGTATTCCAAGAGCCCATCACTACCATCATCTACTAGCCTGATTTCTTTATAAAGAAAATACCAAAAGAAAAATGATGGTATTATTAATAAAAACCTTAAAAATAATAATTGGAAAGCTCAGAAGAAACACCCTAAAATAAAATCCTCTTTTGGAAAATCAGAACTTGGAGTGAAATTAGCTTTGTCACGTAGACAACTGCCCGCTTCTGGTTACCACTGATACTGACTTACACCAACCCCATCCCCCAAAAACTGTCTAGGAAAAGGGACCACGACCCATAATGAAATTTCTACCAGAGCTGTGCTGTTGAAACTCTATTTCGCTTGGGATGGGGAGGACCATGTTGCAGGACTGTCTGTGAGAGGCTACTGCCTCAGTAAGAGTCCCTATTGTTACTGAAGTCTCGTAATTCCCTTGTGGAAGAAACCCAAGCCCCAGCTACCCCACACGGGATTTGGGAGTTGTAGCAAATACTGCTCTGCTGAAGTACCAGTCAAAGGAAGCAGAAATCTCTCTTGGTTGTCCAGGAAGGAGGGATGCGTCTGAACAATACCTGTGATCATAGTAATGGCTTCCATTTACTGAAGAGTCACAATTTATAGGCACTCTGGTGGCCATCCGAATACATCATTTCAATTATTTCTCACAGAAAGCTTATGAGGCATTATCATTTCCAGAAAACTGAAGCCTGGGAAGGTTAAGTAGTTGGCCAAAGTCCTACAGTGAATAACTACAGGAAGCAGGAATTTAAACCCAGCATCTTCAGCTCTAAAGCACATATTCCTAACTGGTAGGTTATCTTGTCTCCTTAGATCTGCACAGCTCTCGAGAGTTTCCAAACAATTTCACAAGATCTATTTAATTTCCTGTGAGGACGTCAGGAAGGAATTATAGCTCTCATTTTATAAAGGAAAAATTAGGCTTAGAATGGTTAAAAGATTTAAACAAGACTGATCACCTTTTATGTAGGGTATAGAGACCAGCGTGCAAATCACAATGCAGGTTTTCTGGGACAAGTTAACTTTTGTTTCTAAACTTCCCCTGTAGAACTGCCATCTGCTCCAATATGGTCAACACGCTAAGGAAAAGCCGGCACATTGCCCATGTAAGCCTAGCATTCATATTTTACCTGCATTTCAAAAATGTACACTGTTGCCACAGCAACTCATAACGAATACCATAGAAAATCAAACCAAGCCTACATTTCTGAGTACAATGGACCATGCTGTTTGCAGCAGTTGTTTGAGATTTCCACTGCCAAAGACCCGTCTGACCAGTCCTTTAATCATTGACTGTACTTCATCATGTCTACCAGCATTATCACTCTCCAAAGAATGCACGTCCAGACTCTCAGGCCACTAATAATTCGCGTGAAGAACCACAGCCTGGCTACTAGGAGGAACTGCCAAGTGGGCACTGAGTTAAGAGGCCCCGCCCCCTGCTAGCAGCCAAACCTCTTCCGAAAACCAAGGGTGAATGAGAACACTCCATGACAAGTTGAACAGTGGCGTAAGTCCTCCCTTCTGACCTATTAAAATGCCAGAAATTTGAAGCACAAATAGCATGATAACAAAAATAACTCCCATTTATTTGGGACTCAACATTGTCAAGCACGGGGCTAGGTATTTTACACGCTTCATCTCTAATTCACATTTTATCAGTTCGACACTGGCATTATTACCTCTGTTTTACACATAAGCCTCCGAGTAGTCATGGAACATCATCATCATCATCATCAAAGGATTTATTTAACGTTGAGCCCGTACCATGTGCCAGGCACTGTTCTGAGAGCTGCACCTGTTATTTAACGTAATCCTTAAATAATCATCTGAGATAGGCTCTAGGAGCCCTCTTTCCTAGGTGGGACAACCAAGGCAAGAAGGACTTGTTCACAGCCACACAAACAGGCAATGGCGAATCGCCTTTTCCAGAGTGGAATCCTATCCTAGGAGGAGGTGAGGTGCTCACCTTGGCACACGAGGCCACAACCCTGGTAATCATTTGAAAAAAGAACCTTCACAGAGCCCGCCTATCAATACATCCATTAAAGCTACAGACGCTTTGGCTGAGAACCAGAAGCGGTCGTTGACTTGCATGCTACACTATGTTCAACAAAAACTACACAGCTTTAAGTAAGAAAAGCACGCTCAGCTAAGGAAAATGTTCAAATGATCAAGTCCTTGAGGCTGCAAATTGATCATGGCAAGAGCAGGTACTTATCCTAGAATACGTTCCCCGTGAGCCACGGGTGGACAGAATCCAGGATTTAAATGACCGCTTAACTCTTGTTAAACTTGAACAGCTAAACTTGTTCAACACACTATAAAAAGGAACCAAATACGGGAATTAAACCCAGGTTTTTCTAATTGGAAAGCCCACCTATTTCCATCATGCTTCATTTGGACTGACACCATAAACATTTGTAAATAAACTAAATGAAAATTCTCCCATCCATCCAAATTCCAACAAAAACACGTCTACATATACATGAGCATAAAAATTCGCACTTCCCTGCAGCAGCCCCCTCCACCCCGCAACGAAAAGAATACCATAGAGAACAACTCTCTCCTGATAATGAGCGGCAGGTGGGAGAAGCCTGACGGCACGCCCAAGACTAAGCGAGATGCATGCAGGTCGTCGTTTTCTCCGGGCCCCCCAACAACATCTTTAAGATCCCATTCTGGCCCACGTCATTGTTATCAGAGATCAAGATGCCTGCTGCCCCCTCAAAGAAATCACCTTTGTTTACTTTTTCTCAACTGATTGGAATACGTAGGAGGGATGACAAGGCTCCTAGTCAGACAATAGTAGGCGTATGCCTGACAGATGGTCTGTTAATGAAAACATCGGAAAGATCTGCTCTAAATGAGTGTGTGCCTGTTTATATGTGAAATATTACATTATGGGAACAGCTGACAGAGTCAAAGACACCATTCCCCGTAAAGGAATCAACATCTGGCTGGTGGCAGGGCCCAGATTTCCACGGAGACACAGGTCATGATATTGAAATTCCACACAGTACTGCTTCCCAATTCTTGCTCCCAAAGCACCTGCATTAGAAGAATTCTACTGAATGTCAATCATTTGATATATAATGAGCACCAGTGAAAAGCATCAAGTTAAGGGGGAAAATCTGTCTCCCATAAATTTTAAGGCATCGTTACAGGTACCAGTCAAACTATGGTCTTTCTTGGTTGCTAGGGAAAAACAGCTATTTGTATAACTAAGGGATTAAAACAATGTGTTTGACTTGCCTCTCCACCCAACATTTCACTGACATTTGCAGCTTAAATACTGAAACCTCAAAAGCAGGAAATATAAAGCACTCTAAATATATTTATAGTGATACTGACATTTTATTGCATTCCTGGAAAATCAATTTTCAAAATGCCTTTTTTTGTTTTCCAAGAGGCAGTGCAAGGACGAAGTAAAAACAACAACAAACTCCTAGATAATTCTAAAGCGTTAGATCCAAATACAAGAGGCAATAAATTTGATACTTTTTTGTCTTCACTAAATTGTTCCTTTGCTTGGGAAAATACTCTATTAGTAATGATAATTGTCGGGCTCCTGTTGCTATTTTTTGACTTGCTCAAGAGTGGCATTTCTACCAACTGCTCTGCCGCATCTCACACCTTTCCCTGTCTTCTTCATAAGCATCTTCACGGCTGCTGAGACCGGGCTTAGAGCTTTTTACCAACTCAACCGAGAGAACCTTGAGGTAGGTACTATCCCCATTTTACAGATGTCAGAGGGAAGCTCAGGGAAGCCAAGATGGCGCAGCTAGAGAAGATACTCAAACCTCAGCTTGCCTCACTTCAAAGGGCACGCTTTCGCCACCGATCTTTGGTGTCTACTGTTGTATTCAAATTTTTAAAATATCCTTGAGGTCTTTAAGAAATGACTAAAAATTATTACCTGGACGAGTGAATTGTGTGACTGATGGTCACTACGTAGCCAGCTCCTCCAACGTCTAAGTACGGGCCGGTCAGAGAAATCAGGCCCGGATTAGCCACTGCGTGGAGGTACCTAACCGAGGCCAAGGAGAGTCACGTTATTTTAGAGAATGAACCACCACTCTCTAAACGTCAAAGAAAGTGCGTGTGTAACTCTAAAAATATTTATCATAAATTGTGCCTGTGTGACATGAGAATTCAAAAGGATTCCTATCTTCCTGACTGTAGCATCAACAGAAGAGGTCAAGACAATCTGAAATTCTCTTTTTAAAACAGACAGTGAACTCAGTACCTATCTGAGCTTTTAATAAGCTTGATAGCATAGATGTTTTAGAGGCTAAAAGAAAAAGAAATTAACGGATGAAATAGAAACAAATACAATTTGGCAAATAAAAACGCACCCTGGATACCATGGTAAGGGGGGGAACACGCAGCAAGAATAGAGACTCATGAGTGACTCCGTCACTAAGCAGCCCGTGTCCAGAAGTCCTGTTTTTAGGCCCAAGTTGCCCCCATACCATACCACCTTACTAGCTTTTGTTTTGAAAACCAGAGTAAAAGTAACGCCCAGAAGTAAAAAAAGGTTTCTGAATTTACACGTGTTCCTTTTTCATAGGTCATGCATGAGCTGTGGTGTGACGCCATGTCACGTGCAGTGAAATGAAGTACACCCACGACAGACACGTTGCACACAAGGTAGGACTCAGACAAACCAGTAGGAACCGAAATGGCCAAGCACAAAGCATTTCAGGCTCAAAATCTCAATGACGACAGAAAAGCACTGCAGACAGAGGAAGCCCACAAAGCAGTTGTGAATACTACGCTTAAAGAAAGATTCAAAAACATTTTCACTGCCATGAATGTGTCTTCTTTCATGTGACTGCCTGAAGTTGCTTTATTGTACGCACTTATCATGTCTCTCCAGGATTTGGGGGGAACCTTTGATAACGGAAGCCCCTAAAACTCACCATTGTCTCCTAGTGGGATCAAATGCTTTGTCCATGAGGGAACCAGGATAAATTCTGAGGACGCCATTGGGCGTTGCTATGTAACGGCGGACAATGTAAGTGTTCAGGCTACTCATTTCCATTTGTGTCATCCATTCATCTGTGACGTGGCTGGTAGCCATTACTTCATTTCTGACAGAGAACTAGGAAACAAAGGAAGACATAGCAGGGACCCTTTAAGTCTCACATGAAAAGAGAGTGGACCGCTGGCAGGGCTTCCCAAACCTCTCTTGCAGAGAAGCCAGGCCCAATTACTCCTTAAAAATCTTTCCACAGCAGATGGATACAGCCAAACTTGGGGAAAACAAACACCTCCTGAAACAGAGTCTGTGGATTTGTGATTTACTCAATTGTTCACCCTAGCGAGGTTGTCTGTGTTTAAGAGAAAGCCCATAGTGAACTATTACACACACACACACACACACACACCCCGCAGCTAGATCTCGGCTCCTTAAACTTCATCATGTTCCTCTTGGCAGACAGTGGGGGCACTTCACTTCTTTCCCCCGAGAAAAACGAAGCTGGGAAAGTTTCCCCCATCTCTAAGTCACACCCTACCCAGAAAACCCCTAGTGCGTCTGAGGCCTGAAACGGACTCTTCATCTGGCCCGCGGGGCTTCTTAATCCATCGGCGGGTGCTGGCCGCCCGGCCTCCCGGGCCACGCGCTCTCCCTCCGGCTCCAGCGGAGCCCGCAGACCCGAGCCGGCCTCCCCGCCAGCCTCGCCCCGGCGCCCACCCGGCCCGCCCGCACTCACTTTGAGCCCCGGGTTGGCGATGAGGCGGGTGTTGTCACTGAGATAGGCTGTGTAGTGCTCCACCATGCGCTTTGTCTCTGGCTGGCTGAGGTGTTCGTAGGGGGAGGAAAAGCTGCCAGCAGACAGCATGACGGTTGGACTTTCTGAAAGAGAGGCAGACAAAGGAGCCTGAGGACGCCGGGGCTTCCTCTCAGGACCAGACACAGGAACCCAGGGCTCTGCCATCTGTCACTCTGCTGGCTTACCATCCTCCATGAAGAAAGCAAAGGACCCCACCCGGGAGGAGCTGAAAAGGAAGGAAAGCGACATTCTCCCCCTTCAGGGAGCTGACCATCATGAGGGAACCAGAAGAGACACACGTACAATACACACAAGCGCCCGGAACGGCAAACGTTCAAAACCTCTTCGATCTACACATGACACCTTACTCTTCTCAGGACCAAGGAGGCCGCGTGTGACGTGGAGCCAGACTGGGCTGAATCTGGGCTCCACCCGCCCTCTCCTGGCTGGGTGACGTTGTGACGTCAGGGGCATTGTGATATACGATGTTTTTCTCATCTGCAAAGTGGGGGAAATTATAGCACCAGCTTAAAGAGTTGGGGTGAGAATTATATCAGAAAATGAGTTACTAAACGTAAAACACATGGAACAGTGATTGGCACACAGCAAAGCTCTGTGTTAACGATTCCTTTTCATCTAAGTATCAGCATCTAGGAAGAAGGAAAAACGGAATAGTGGAGTCAGTGCAAAAGTCAAATACAAAAATTTATTCTCACAGATGGAGGCAGCCAAACTTGGCATAAACAAAAGCTTGTGGAAACAGAGCAGTTAACGTATACATATTTAACTGTTGGTCCTATCTAAGAGGAACAGCCCAGTTTTCTCTATTTAAGACAGAAATTCTCACAATGAATTACATTATGAAACAAAAACACTCCATCTTTGTCTTTGAAATTTTCTACCGTTCAGCCTCATCATATCTTTCAAAGCTTCGGAGAGCACGCTCCCGTGTGCTATCTCATTTAAATCTGTGGGTCATTTTCTGTTCCTTTCCTTAGCTCTCACTCCTGGTGTCTTGTTTGTTTGTGGTCTGGTTGTCTCTGACTGTGCTGGATCTCGTACTTAAAAACGAATTTGTAGGAACAGTTGAGGCCTCACAGGATGGGAACACCATCCTCCAGAGAGGACTGTTGTTTGATTCTGCTGGGAGCCACCCCCCAAGGAGAGGCAGAGTGGTCAGGCGGAGACAGTGCCCAATAAGGAGCCCGTACTGGCCTAAGCACCACGCTGTGGGACTTTGGGGTTCAACTAGTCCATGACTGGCTAACGCCGGAGGTTCCCTAGACCATTCAGACGTCAGGAATCTCAAGTCAAGGGCTGATTTCGTTTCGTTCATCCTTACCCTGAAGATGTAGGGACCAATGCTAACAGCATGTACGTGTGTGGGGGGGCGGGGCAGAAGGGAGAGGCTTCATTTCTTAGTCTCCACCTTTGTTGGGGACCCTGGATTCGATTTTGCCTCTCTCCCTAGCCCTAAGAAGCTACCTAAAGCAGTTCAACTTCACAGCTGTGCCTTCTGGATTGGTAAATATGTGCACTGCAACAGTGGCTTTAAGTGTTGGCTGTCTTCTCTGGGCTCTTATCTTCTCCTAGACTTTGGCCCAGTGATTCCTCAGAATCATGTCTGTTCTTTGATGCCACTCAAGAAGATTATTTAGGGGCTGGCCCTGTGGCTGAGTGATTAAGTTCACATGCTCTGGTTCGGTGGCCCAGGGTTTTGCCAGTTTGGATCCTGGGCGTGGACAGGGCACCATTCATCAGGCCATTTTGAGGGTGGCATCCCACGTAGCACAACCAGAAGGACCTACAACTAGAATACACAACTATGTCCTGGAGGGTTTTGGGGAGAAGGAGAAGAAGAAGAAGAAAAAAAGATTTTTTAAAAAAAGTTTCCACCCAGGATTTTTAGTTCTTCTCAGTGGATGGGTCAGAATTATCTAGTCTGCCATTACCAGAAGACACTGCTTCCAGGAATCCTATGTCTCATTTAATTCTCATGGCCTAGCATTAGTATTATATTTACATCAAGGAGAAGCAAACCAGAGGCTTAGAAAGGTTAGGCTGCCTTGCAGTGTGCTGTGGATTCATGTGCATATGCTCATGGGCCCTCTGTGCAAGAATGTGCCAGAGATGCAAGGATGTGCCAGAGAAAGGATTATCCTTGAACTCAAAGGACCCAGATGGAGATACCAGAAATAAAGAAAATAGAGGAGACCAATATAAGAATTACACAACAATATAAGAAATGTCAACAGCAGGGACAAGAGAATAGGGTCAGAGGAGGAGGGACTTCTTTGGAAGTGGGCCTTTCTTGTGGTGACAGAGTCTGGGCATCTTTGAGAAGGCTGGTGCAGTAATATGGATTGAGGGAGAAGAAGAAACAAGATACAGAGCCCAACGATTGTGCCTCGGAGGTAGACACACGTGCTTACATACACACACGCATGCTTAACTGCACTGGACGGTAGACTTTAAAAAATGCCTCTTTGTGTACCGAGAAAGACAAGGCCCCCCTGCCTCCTCAGAGCTCTGACATACATTTAACACCCTGCCTCAGAATCCCCATCAGCAATGCAGTCAGATGGAAACCACTCATTTGCCATTGTTTCCCTTATTTCTATTCCCTTTTGATGATATTTTAATTATCTTGCTTCATTTTCATTACCAACTGATCCTAAACCGCCCTTGATGACCCCTCCACGTTGTCCTGGGGGGTTCTACTACCAAGGTGACGTGGTTGGTAATGTGGGAAAGCCAGACACTGGCCTACGTGTGATCAACAATCAGTTCATTAGCTGCATGTAAACTATTTGAGGTGATAAACTCGACATTTTCTGAGTGTTTCTGTGAGACAAGACTGTCCAATTAGAATACAATGCAATCCACAAATGTGGTATAAACTTTCCCAGTGGCCACATTTAATAGAAAGAAACAGGTTAATTTTATAATATAGTTTATGGAATCCAATATATCCAAAACATTAGCACGTTAACATGTAATCAGTATAAAAAATTAAGTATGTATTTTACACTTACAGTAAATCTCGGCTTGGACCAGCCGCATTCCAAGTGCTTAACAGCCACACGCGCCTGGTGTCTACCATATTGGACAGTGTGGCTCTGAGAGATTATCCAAGGGAAATAAAAAAATCTAGGCTTGAGCTTTTTTCTCACCAAGAGAAACTCCTGCACTTCGCTGTCTCAAGTTTCAAAACATGACCTCATTTTACCAGCAGTAGTGTCTAAGCTCGTTCCCACAGCACTTAAGACAATCATGTACATCTTAGCTTCTCAGTGAGCATTTCTTACAAATACGAATTAAAGAGCACACATACTTTTTTAACAAAAAACAAAACCCCCAAAACCTAAATCAAAACAAACAAATGTAAAATCCAACTTTGATTGACATCTCTGGCTCTCTCCAGGCTGTCTACACTGCAGGAATGTGTCAGAGAAGAGACCACCTAGTCTGGCCTGCTCTCCTGCTCTCACATCCAGGCAGAAAGTCTCCAGGATGGAACTTAAAAGAGGACCCAAACACAAGTGCTCTCACTTGCACTCTGGAGACTGATGACCTCTGACCTTGACCCTCTTCCCACCTGTGTCCCCTCTACTCAACTGGCCAGTGTGTGATGATTCTTAGTTATTCACTTCCTTGAGCCCCCCAAATATTTTCAACAGTGAAAGAGAGGAGACTTGTTTTCCATACCAAGTGTTCTGTGCTGTATCGACAACACACATCGCAAATGCCTAGAATGTGTCTGGCAGGTGCAGCACGCAAGAAAAGGGGTGGCATCACGGCATGGTGGGCGCATGAGTCACAGCTCAGCCTTGCAACTTTCTGTGTTACCTTGGGAAATTATGGGTTTCTGATAAACCCAAATGTCCTCATCTATAATAGGTCAACTTGGATGATGGATGTTACATACCTGGTACATAATACATCAATGTAAACTCCCTTTGCATCCTTTGAATTATTTGCTTATTTCCTAAGCTCTTTTGAAGGTAGGGACCTGTGGTAGATACAGATGTGCCAGGGAGATGCACAGGTCTGCTACCTTTGGACCCCTTTCTCTTTCTCCCCCTGCCCTCCACACAGTATCTCCGTACCTGTGCTAGCCTCCAATGGGTCATATCCGTGATTCTCTCTGAGGGACTGTCACTGGCCTACTAAAACCTCTTTACCTAGCACTAGCAGAAAGCTGAAAGTGACCACGGAATATGAAAGTCCAGCTCCCTTTCTTGAGTCTGGGCAAACTGCAGTGTAATTTATCCTCTAAGCCCCTACAGGGTCAGGCTGAGGCTGGAACTTCAGCTGAAATCAAACCCTTGCTTGCTTTCTCCCGCTTCCCTCACATCCTCACTGGTTTCTTTGGAAAGCCCACCCTTAATAAATCACCAGCACACAAATCTTCATCTCAGCATCTGCTGGAGAAGCTCATCCACAGCAAGGCTTCAAACTGTTTTTACATTTGTGTCCCCAAACTGGCACTGGGTGCATTCAACACCTTTTTCTTAAAAAGAACAATTCAAACTGACATTTATGGTGAGCTGCTATGAGGAAGACCACAAAGGAAGCAGAGAAGTGCAAGGGCTTTACCTAGAGTGGCCAGCTGTTTGAAGTGGAGGCAAGCGCTAGGCTGGCCCAGGAGGTCTAGCCGGTGGTACAGCAGCTTGCTGCTAGGCACAGTGTTGAGGTTCTTCAGTTGTTTCACAGGTATTTCTGGTTGGATCACCACAATACAGAGAATAAAGGAAGTGTCTTGTACCTGGAAAAAAAAAAAAGTCGATGAAGAAGTTCTAATACACCAAACAAAGGTTCGTTTCTGGGGATATTGACTTTGTCTACATATTTTCTGCTGTCTCTGCCTCTGTCCCCAGATAGCAAAATATTTGACGAGTGAATGAAAGACACAAAGATGGGGCGACAGAAAACATCTCTGGCAAACAAATTTTATTTTCTGGGTTTTTTTCTTTCCAATCCAGGGAAATTAATGTATGTAACAGAAAATCATGGAGCTAATGAAAGGATCAGAGGACAGTCCCTTTGAAACGTGACCCTAGCCGTCTTCTGCTTATTTCAGCTAATGGATACAAGCTGGAGCATGGCAGATAAATGCAATACTTATTTCTGTTTGGGACTGAAAGGCATTTAAAAATATATAGTTGGTTTTGCAGTGAGTGTTCTGAGAACTGACTATTTTAAAAGCCAATTGTGAACCACATATGCAACCCCTACAGAATCTGGTTTATTCATTCTATTCCCAACTAACACTTTCTATTTTTCCGGATGGAGATGACCAGGATCTCAGACTCATGAACAGCACAAATTCTGTGGCTTTCTCCAAAGCCTGCCAGACTCGATATTTCAGACCAGGGCAGGCAAATGTGCTGTAGCTTAGCCTAATTCACTGAGCTCAGATGTAGAAGTAACAGTATTTTCAAATTCACTTTGCTGCTAGAAATGGGTGCTTCAGTAAAATTTGGTGGGAAAAATGTCCACCAAAGAATCAAAAGGCAAGTCAAGTTACTTAGTTCTAGCTCCTTGACTTAAAAATACAAGAAAGCTAAACTCCTCTAAGCCCATTATATTAGGAAATGGACAGAACTTATTTAAAAGATGGTTTGTAAATAAATGAAGAGAGTGATAACCAGCTAAGTCAGAACTAAAGGACAGTGTCTTATAAAGCAGCTCAAAAGATTTACTTAATGATTAAGGAGAAAATTTTAACTAGGCAGGTTACAGTTAAGTGTAATTTAGGGTTTATGAGGATGGTTGCAGAATCTTTTTAAGCACAGGAGAAATTTGCATCTTCCTGGAATTGCTTTCAAGTCCTGCTGCCAAGGATATTCAATTAGATTAGCAAATTTAATCCTCTTCCTCCACCCCCCCAGTTAGGAAGTGACAGGGTGTTCTGAGTGACATTTACCACTTCTCCCCTTCCCATCTCACACAGTCATCCTTTGAGCTTGTTTCCTGTGTGGCGTGTTCCAAGGAGCCAAAAGACAAAAACTTTACCAGAATGACTAGAACGTAATTTTATAATTAAGTCTATTCTGCAAGAGAAAAATTAAAAGTTACTCTAAGCTTCTGAAGCAACACTTCATAAATAGTCCTTAGCTAGAAAGGAGAACAGATTTCAATCTAGGTCTTTCTATCATGTTCTTAGCTGAAAAAGCAGTCTGTGCAATAAGGAACTATAATGTATCCAGAAGGGCTCTCCATGACTGGGGATCGGGTGCCCATGGGACTCATGTTTTGAAGTGAACCGTGTCTGTGTCACACAGGAACATTCTAATACCTTCTGATAGTCAATCCTTCCTCCTGTCATATCAGGTAGCTTCCTCAAATGCTCAAAGACGGACTTGGGTTACACAGTGACAGAGCAGTAATCTCCTTACGCTGCTAACATAATCTCTCACGTTCTGTCTAAATTAATTCAGTGAAATAATCCCTCAGGATCTGCTATATCCATGGATGCAAAGCAGTTTAACCAATTATTCTCAATATAAGCTAAATCTTTTTGCATTATTGTTAGCAGAAAAATCCATTCTGTTCCTGAGGACAAGACGAGTACCTACTCCCTTCCCCCCTCAGAAACTAAAGAGAGCTTAAAAATATTTACTCGTATTGCTGGGTAACCAGGCAAGCCTTTATTCAAAATTCAATCTCATTATTTACTACCTCTTTAATTTTTCACTTAATAGTGATGTTCTTGACAATTTCAGATTCTGAGAAAGCTTAGACTTCTACTCAAGGGGTGATGTGATTACATCCATTTGGCCAAGTAGAGTGGCCAGAATTTACCAGAATCACTGAAGAAAAACTATCTCAGGAAGATAAGACCTCTTTCCAAAATGTTGACATTGGGTTTATTTACTGTACAAAGAAGGTCTTAAAAATGCCTACATTTCTTTCTTTCTCTTTTACTGCGAACAAATATTAAGGTAGACATTTTCCCAGGATGTAACTGAGTTACTTTCAATCAGGATATACTGGAGGTAATCTCCAATTTCATGTATAAAAGCATTTTTCAATTAAGTATTCTGGTGTTTGGTTCATCCCTTCTGATAAGAAAATTAAGCAATTCATCTTTATTTAAAAGTTGTATAAATATAAGGGCAGATGGTGCGATCACTCTCAAAAGAATTCCTGAAAATGAGCTGACTCAGAATTTCAAAATAGACTTTGACCTTCTTCAAATGTGCTTTATCAAACAATAAATTAATTATCAGTAGAATCAGGCTTGTAAAGGTAAATTTCTCAAAAGTTTTCATTTATTATTTTGTTTGCTTTTGTTTCCATTGTAGAAATGACTGTTGCCATAACGACACTTTAGGAACCAAACACGAAGTCAGAAGAGAGTCACGTCTAAGGGCATGTTGGCCGCGTGTAATTCCTATCATTCCTACCAGACACAGGCACTGTAGCGAGTTAACTGTTTGCATACACCACTAGGCTGGATGCTCCATGAGGGCAGAGCGCTTCCCTCTTCTTTATTCTTCTTAGCTCAAGTAAATGTTCAGTAAGTGGTCCTTAAAGGAATGAATAAATAGATCCATTTGGAGTCACTAGATTAAATGCCAGATATGGCCGTGCATGGGACTCTCAAGCATGGCTGCATTTTAGTGATTAAAATCTGATGATAAAAATGAAAGTTCACTCTTCTTTTGGTCCATTACAGTGTCGAGGGCCCCATAACACACTGTTAATCTATGCTGGGAAAAGGGAGTGAAGGACAGAAACATGTGTCATATGGACAGCGTGTGGTAGGTTCTACTTCTCCAGGATCTGTGAGGACTACTATTGGGAGGAGGCAAGTAACACAAAGCTCAAGTGGCCGCCACAAGGTATGGCTCAACAGTCAACACGCTGTGGTGAGTATGAATAATCCAGATTCTAATCGGAAAGTTTCTTTTCCTTGGAGAATGTCAGTAGAGTGTGTTTACGCTTTTATATCTCCTTTTGAACTCCCCATTTCCACAATCTGAGTTTAAAATGATAAGAAACCAACTGGATATAACCTAAACGTGTACCAGTAGGCAACTGTTTAAAGAGATTCGGTCCATCTATGTAATGCAACGCTACATAGCCATTAAAGATGCATACACACGCACATGCACGCACAGATACACACACCTGAGTGTGAATAAAAACTGTCTGGAAATTGACCAAAGCACTTCCTTCTGGGGAATGGGAAGTCAAAGGTGGGAGGCGGGGAAGCACATGGTTTACTTTCTACTTTACATACTTTTAGATGGCTTGACTTATTCATCACGGACAATGGTTTTATAAACAAAAAAGGAAAAAAACTAAGAACATCTGTGGAATCTCTTCTTTTCCCAATCACTTTAAAACTGATTACTGACACGCTCAGACCCAAGCTCCCTCGCAATCCCGCATAAAGAAGAGCTGTGCCCCGTAGCTCCTCAGGCGCGGGCGCCTGCCTCCACTCACCATCTTCCAGGCGTAGCTAACGTTGTAGGCCCCCTTCCCAGCTTCTCTCAGCTTGTTGATGTGCCAGGACAGGGATGAGTTCACGGGGACCACGATCGTCTGGCTGCCCAGAGGGAGGCTGCATTGGCAAACAGAACGAAACTCTTCAGGCAAAAGATCAAATGGACACTTAATTAAAGGCAAGGAGGAAGCTGTGAGGCAGTGACCACCTCCTGATCGTGAAGAGCAATAGAGCTCATCGCTTGTGAAAGAGATGAGAGGAGATCTTCAACTTTGTGAAAGCATCGTGTCAGTTCTGCACTAAAATCGTTCCTCTCCACCCCTGCCCCCAATTCTAATTCTTTCCAGAGACGAACTTGTCTCAAATCTCTCAGTCATTAATTTACAACCATTGAGCACAAAGACCTGTTTCTTGATAGGTTACCATCTGCCAAAATAATGTATCACAGTTGGAAAAAGTCCAATCTGTTATTTCAAGAGAAAATGTTGTGTGTGATTGTGCTGTCAACTTGGAACGGACACTACTTTGCCAAGCTATTTTCTGGCATGCTGTAGAGCTGGTCCTCAGCTTAATCTTTTATTTTGCCAACAATTTTCAATTTGGTATAACTGGAGTATTTTTTTAAAAAAGAGATAACATATATCTGATTTTACAATTAAAGGCAATGTGAATATAGAATTTGATGTACCAGAACTTTCCCCATAATAATAGTTCTAAGAGACCTTACCTGTTACACAAAGTAAACAAAATTTTGGCTACTAGTCTTACGGAAAAATTACTGAGTATACTTTTGATAACATTAAAATAATTTATACACTCATTTTATATCCTATAATAAACACTCATATTTGACCTCAGTGGGTCCTATCCTCAGAGAAAAAGAAAATACTAGGACCCTCACTTTCTCCTCACCTTAGGATATTTTGCCGAACCAACTCAAATTTTGGGATATTTTCATAATGAATGATGTCCGTATGAAGGGGGGGTTCTGATAGTAAATATGGCCTGGTAAGAGATGGGTGCATAAGCGTATACCCTGAAATAAGAAAACAAAACACATGCTATGAGAAACACATTGTAGGAAGTACTGATTCCAATGAAAATGTCTATCATAGGTTTGAAACGTGGGCGACTCTGGGATGGCTGCCCAACGCTCCACTTCTCAGGATGTAACTCACCAGCCCAATAAAAACGCAACTTGTTTTATGTGTTCCTGCATAAATCTCTTGAAGTGTAGAAAGGTGTCTTAAATTATCAAACATCTGTCTAACCAAGAATATTTTGGAGGTACTGGTCATTTGGTTTTCGTCTTATGAAATGTTCTAATCTACCACATAAACCTTAACGCCAGTAAATCTGAAGATAACAATATAAACCTAAAAAAGATCCAAAGGATCACATTCTACATGTCATTCAATCCTCAAGTCCAATTTCTTGATGTTGCACATAACCGTCATACACCCCTCAACACAATACAGAAACAAATGCATAATTTTTAGATACATTCTGCCATCCTTATAGTGTTCCATACAAATGAGAAGTCCTAGTGACACTGTTTCTACTAAATACTATCATTTTCCTACTTTATTTGTTGGTTCAGAGTAGCTACAGATGATTTTCTTCAGGTTGCTACAGAAATCATTCTTTCCTATGACTAATTCTTAGCAGATTACCTTTGTCATCTATGAGAAAAGTGTAGGAAGCCAAAGAATCTTGGTAATACGTCACGTCTTCAAGGATATAAGCCAGGTTCACATCCACACCTACAATTCCCAGAAGTAGGTTTCCAAAATAACAGGGTTTACTCACAGTCATTATCAAACCTATGGGTTAAAAACAAAAAAAAATCCAAAGGATAGCAGAGAAGGCACCACACAAAGACTGGAGCTGTGCTCTGGAGAACAGCGAAGGCTAACATCAGCCGTCGCAATTTTCCTGGGAAGACCCGGTAACCAACCCCTGCCTTTGCAGACGGCATAAGTGAGTTAGAGTGTAAGGGGAATGGCCTTTGGGGGTTCAGATGTCTCAGTTAATTTAAAGGAGCTATTTGTACATTTTCCACTATTTTTTCATGTGAAAGGACAAGACATTCTAGATCAGTAGAAAACAGCAGCAGCACTTAACACATCATTCTACTTCCTGAAGTAGAGGAGATTCAGCTGAGTTTGAAAGATCACTCAATAAGGAATCTAAAAATCTGGGTTTTAGCCCAGCTGTGCCCCTAATGTACGGCACATATGACATTGGACATAACTTCTCTGAGCCTTGGTTTCCACATCTGTCTCAAGGACACGGTAGTAACTGCTTTATTGATTTCTAGGGGTTGTTAGATGAAAAGAGATTATGGACAAAGGAAAGCTATGAGGTACAATATTTCATTAATGTGACACAGGAAGACAACGAGAAAAACTCAGAAAGGTACAGAATCTTATCATCTGACCACTTAGAGTGAGTAGCTAAAGGAGACACGAAGTTTCCAAAGGAATGTATTCCCAATCACTTGGGCCAGAAATTCACAAACTTTTACGGAAAGCACCAGATCGTAAATATTTTAGGCTTTGTGGGCCATATGGTCTCTGTTGAATATACTTTTTTGCTTTTTTTTTTTTTTTAACAAAGCTTAAAAATATGAAAACCACTCTTAGCTCACAGGCCATACAAAAACAATAGGATCGCTAGGGCAAGGGAGTAGCGAGGGAAGGCACGCGTGGGTCAGTGCGTGGCCCTGAGCCGTGGGAGAGCTGGGCTCTCCTCCGAGTTTTACTACTGAGCTGGGTAAGTTGTGTCACCTCTGAATGTGTCTCTTCATGTAGCAGATGGGGAGCTGAGACAAAGCTCTCTCAGATCCCTGACAATTCTACACTCTACGGCTCAAAATAAAACTCAAAACAAAAGGATGGGTAGTTTCACTCCATCTTGCTCTTGTGTTCTCCCGCACTTGATGGTACTTTTGTCCATGGCTTAGCAGCTCAGCAGAAAGCCATTCTTCCAGAAACACCCAAAAAAGGGATTTGGATGCTCTTGAAGACCTATAAAAAATGGGCTTCCGCAAAGAGAATCGCTCAAAGCATTCGTGAGTTGCTGTGAGTGCCAAGGCCAAACAATGCATCTGCCGGAGGAGGAAGTGGACACAACACTGAAACCGTGTGAAAGTTATGCAGTGGGTGCCTACTTATTAGAATTCAGAAGCCTTGTTTAAGCAGTCAACATTGAGAATGCCATCTATCTGTTTAAAAACATTTAAAAATAATATGTGTTTAAGAAGGCTTTAAAAATGCATTTGGAGGAGGTTTCAGCCCCGGGACGCCTGGACGAATGAGTTCTAAGCGATGGCAGCAGGGCTGTGAGGGCTGGCACAGAGACAGAGGGCATAATCTGCATGCCACGTCCCCTGGGCTTTAGTCTACCATTAAAGCCGTTTGCATAGAGCAGCAAAGTACAAGTTATACTGTGTGTCTGAGACCACATCCTCACTTCAAATTTTTATCCTCCTCTGGATATGCTCAGAACAAGCCTTAAGAAAGAAGCAGAGTCTTGGGACCGGCCCGGTGGAATAGTGGTTAAGTTCACGTGCTCCGCTTCAGCGGCCCGGGGTTCGTGGGTTCAAATGCACCACTCATCAAGCCACACTGTGGTGGCATCCCCCATAAAAAACAGAGGAAGATTGGCACAGATGTTAGCTCAGGGCCAACCCTCCTCACAAAAAAAAAAAAAAAAAAGAAAAAAGAAAAAGAAACAGAGTTTCACTTTTCAATTACCAACTTGGGCACAAGACTCTTCATCCCATTGTGGCAAACAATGCTAAGCTCTTGCTACACTTAATGGAATCTCCAAACACCCTCTCTACTTTAACCTAAAGCATGTAGGTTTGCTTTTTACAAGAAATATGTCCAGTCACTGATATTTAATCTGTGGAGGTTTTGCATTAAAGCCACATAAACATGGATTCCCCTAGACTCAGTGTCCCCATGTCATGGAGTTAAGAGTAGGTGTCACCCAATAATTCTAGCGACTGAAAACACACACTCTTGCAGGAGAATGGAACAGACCAGTAAGCCAGTCACAGAAACCCACTGCGTTGGATTCGTAACGCAGGCCCTAACGACTAAACGGACATCAGCCCATAGGGAACACCGTTTTGCGCATACTTTGATTTAAGGCATTCAGGGTAGCTCTCTGGTTGCAGAAGTAAATTTCAGAAGGGGTCCTGCTCTGCCAGACAGCACTAATGGTAACAGAATGTGGCTGGATAATCCTCCCTGCTTGTACTGGGCTCAGTTTCCACATCCGTCTTTGTTCCCTTCACACAGTATTAACATGATTCATCGATCTGTCTTTCTCTTATCAGACTTAAATGCTTGCTGAGGGTGGGATGTGCGCCTTACTCTTCATTGCCTGACACAACGCTTGGCTGGCGCTCAATAATGTTGGCTAAATGCATAAAAGGTCACTTGCATTTAAGACTTGACATTTCCCAATAAAAGGAAATGGCCTCATCTAAAGGTGGGAGTTTTGTTTCCATGCACATCTGTGGGCCCCGCCAGAACTGGGAAGGATAAAAACATGGAGGTGTAGCAGCAGCTACCATACTTCTTCTTTATAGAAGGAACATGTTTGCTTAATTTCTAGAAAACACACTATTACTTTTTTCCGTTATTTTTGATACATGAGTTTCTCTGAATTTCTGTACTTGTGAGAGTTCTAGCTGGCGGAAGATAAAATAAGATCTCACGTGGCAATGGTGTCTGTCTGGCAGTAACCAGCTGCCTCTTCAGTCTTTGTCAAGGAAGAATAAAGGGGAGAATGTGGGGAAAAGGAGGATAAGCAAGAATTTGAGGAGGGAAAGAGAAAGGCCGTACTTTTCCTGAGCACATGCTGTTGGTCACACATTATTCTAGATGCTCTACATGTATGAGTACATTTAATCTCCCAAGAGCCTTGAGGGAAATAGTATTTTTCCAATTTCATAGAACAAGAAATTGAATCATGTGAAGACCAAACACTTTACCCAACAGGGTATCGCGGGTAACTTGTGACATTAGGATGATGATAACAACAGTAATAATGACAAAAGGAAAATAATAAATAAACAGAACAAGAGCAGTAATAATCATTGAGAGGTGTGCCAGGCACTAACAGATCTGATAATCCTAACAACCTGAAAGATTTATTACATGAAAGATGTTATCACATTTTTAACAGCTGACCAAATGTGAATTAACAAGATGAAATAAATTAGTAAGGACAACAACTGAAGTGGTGGAGTGGGATTTGAAATCCTCTCTCGTGCCAACCATGGTACGACTACCCCATGTTGCCTTGCCTTTGAGGCTGAATCCTGAGCTTTATTTACCACCGGCTATCCATGTTACCCTTTAGTTCCAATTCACTAACTTTTGGATATTGGGGAATCCTCCTGAAGACTCCGACCAGTAGATGTACCCATTACATTGACTGAGGTGAGGGCAATGAGGAAGAAAGAGGGCAGGGGAATTCTGCTCTAGAAGATAGTGCTATCGGACTGATGGCAGGGGTCTATGCAAGCCTCTGACCAGAGAAAGGTATGTCCCTTCCCTTGCCTGCTCAGACGCTCTAATGCTCACATGCAGGTATTGAACAACACTGAAAAGTTACTGTCCTGGTGGACTCATGCCCATTTCCGTTCCCCTTCCTTTTAGTAGGAAGTTTTCTCCAAACTTACCATCTCCCATCTCGTCAGAGAAGGGGAGGCTAAAGACAGCTTCATCAATCATCCGATTGGGGAGGTTGGTATAGAACCTGCCGACCGTGGTCTCCAGGTTACTCAGCTGGTTCAGCACCATCATGCTGCCCTTAATCACAGGCAAGGCTGTCCGGTCCAGCACACCATACTTCCCCGAGTTCTGTTCAGCCAGGTCTCTCAGGAAAGCCAGCTCTTTCAAACCAGTCACTCCATCTGAAATGCAAAGCGAAATGGTTGATATCCACACAATAGCTTTGCCATTTAGATCTAACATGGGCATGGACAAGGTGTTGCAGTGCCAAGGGATCTTTGCAGAGACGATCTGGACTCAGGACACGGATACCAATTCCTGCTGAGGGGTAAAGCCTGAGGCCTGGTCTCTCCTCAAACAGTCAGGAGGGCAAAGGGATTCTGCAAAATGCAAAGATGAAAAACACTTGAGTACATAACCGAGCCCCATTCAGCAAGAATGTGCTCTCTCCTAAAATTTTAATTATAAAATTCACATTACTTTTCTGAACTTAATATTTGAAAGCAAGAGTAATGATTAACAAGTTTGTATTTAATTTGACTTAGTAGATGAAGTTGTAGGAGTTTTAAAGGATAGAGGTTTACCATTTCATTTCTTACCTCTGCACCTATTAAATCCTTGCCAAAGCCTCATGCAAATAAATGAAAGAATTACGGATTGCATTTAGTGATGACTCCAAACCCTGTTTTTTAAGCTCATTTTAATTACAAATGTTTTCATGCTTGGTATTGTTAGGATAATACTGGATTTGATTTATTTAATGTATATTTTTTACATTTAGAGGGTTTAAAAACCTTTGTAAAAGATTTAGGCATACTGGGATGTATTGTTCTACAACATCTGTAATCTATAGCACAAAAATAAATTTAATAAACCTCTCTTAAAATTTTGGTTTGCTATTGTTGGAACACAGTCAAAAGGATTAGTAACTGATCCCATATGGGTACCGCTGTAAACAAATTCAAATGATTTCAGGCACTACCGAGATTCTACCAATGAGTTTTAAAAGGGCTTTGCCTCATGCTCTTGAATTGTTCAGTCATTTAAAAAAATCTGAAGAGCTCGTGGTTCTCCTCCCTCATGCGGCTTTATCATTTCTGTAGAGACTGTATATACTTCTAGCTTTGGAAGTCTATTTCTGAAGTCACGGCAGGATCGAATGGATATAAATTTTCTTTCTTAACACATTGTATTTAAATAACTTGGATTTTGTTCCAACTCCTATGATGCTAAAGGAAAGTCAGACCAGATTATTGTTCCCTTTACTTGACGCGGAGTCGAGCTGAGCAGGGTGGTGGTGAATGGTACACCCCCGAGTAAAAGACAGCACAAAAGGCACCACTGGTCCCAGACCTTATGCCCTTGACAAGCTTGCAGAGGTGAATGAGAAAAGAAGGCATCAAGGCAACAAATACATTTCCTTTCTTTGTCACCTACTGCTGGGCTCTCACAGAAAACAAAAAAAAAAGTCACAAATGGGAACACCTACTGGGCTAAGAAGAAGTGTGTGGGGTGGAAGGCTGTCAAAGATGGGCATTTTATGTCACATGAACTGTCACGCACGTGAGGCAGCAGGGTCACTGTTAAGCACGCTGGATTGCCTATCACCAACAGGGTCATGCTGGAAACTACATTTCCCAGAACTCCCTTTCTTGTACACGTCCAGGTTAAAGGTGGCCAAAAGTGAAGTGCTGCGAGATTTGAGAGGCGAAATGAGATGGCGAGAGACAGACACAAAATGTTCCCTTTTATCTCAGGCTTCTCTGATCTGCATTCAGTTCCCTTTCCCAGCTGCTGGCTTGCTCACCAAGGACAACCCCAGGCCCACTGCGGATGCTTCACTGAGAACTCCCAGGGTCAGCAGCCACAAAGAGCCCACCTCCCACGGCTTCTCCACCAGACCTCCCACATGCCCTTCACCATGCCCAGCTTCCAGACACCTCTGCAAGCTCCAACTCGTTCACCTGTACCAGGGCTGGTAACTAAACTTAGAGTTCTTGACTCCTCTTTCTGGATCTTTGCTTTTCCACTTTCCCCCCACAATTGTGTGGACTCTACTTCTGATAATAAATTGATCATACCAAAATTCTCATAGTGGCTCTGCTTCCCCATTTGAAGCCTGACTGACAGAGTAAGGGAATGTGTCAACCGCAGTGAACAATGCTCCGAGATGGCATTTGGAGAGAGGGAGACTGGCAGTGAGGATGAATGTCTGGCTGGGTTAATGGGAGAACGAGAAGAGATAAGGGTGGTAAGGGAAGCAACCAGAGCTTCTAAAGAATGGAATTATCAGGGCACAGCAGATGCACAAGATACTCTGGTGGGAAGATACAAGACCAAGGAAGAGATGAGTGACAACAAGGAAGCTTCTTTACTCAGCATCTGCCTGGGCGACCTTCAAATCTCATGGAAAAGAAGAAGTGCCCGCTTCCTTTTATGTTTCCTTGCTCCTGTACAATTGCATTTCATCCATCTGCCTTGTCTGTCTGTCTTTCTCACCAGGCTCAAGTTTCTTTGTATAATATAGCTCTAAAACCTCAGTGTACTATGCAGCACACTGGAGGCTCAATACATTTTACCCTCCTGGCTCCTTCCCTCTCTTCTTCTTCCTTCCTCTCTCCATCCCTTCCTTCCTTTCATGAGTGAAAGAAGCTAAACCATAGGAAAATAAGAGCAACAGGCAACTGAAGATGACCCGGAAAGGTAGGTGTCTGAGGCGGAAACAGGCCACCCTGCCTGCCTCAGCTGTGCTCAGCATACAAGAAAATTCATGTCCAAGACGCTCACATCCTTGTGCAAAGTGGAGGGAGGAGGAGGAGACGATATGTGAGCACATCACTCACTTCATGCTTAATGTGAAGTGTTCATGTGGGTGACATGCTTAACACAAGCAAGCACAACACGCTGGGGGACACGCAATACTGAACGGAGAGCTGGCCCCAAAGCAGGTGGGAGAGCACCTCTCCCTCGGAGCGTACCGAGACAGGGCAGCACACGACCTTCACTCACTCCTCCAGCTGGCTTTGAGGGCCTGTTACTTACCAGGCGCTATGTTAGGAACTTTAAACATGTTGTATCTTGTTTGCGTATTATCAGAGCAACCCTATGCAGATTTTACTATTTTCACCTTACAGATAAAACCAGGCCTAAAGAGATTAAGTAACTTGCCATAGGCTACACGGCTAATAAATGGAGACTGGAACTCAGAACCTCTAGACGTCACACCCTGTGTTCCTCCATGTGTAGTCCACAAAGTGTCTGGGAAAGACTCACACTGGCCAAAACAGATTCCTGGACCCCACCTAAGAGGGTCAGGATAAAAATCTGGAAGTCTGCATTTAAAAACAATACTCTCCAAGCAATCCTTGGCAGATTGAAATACAGGAACCACTGTTCCTAAAGCACAAGGTTCTGCACAGAATCTAGAAGCGGATAAGAGAAAGACAAGACCATAGGTGGGAAAGGGCTGCTGATCAAGACACAGCCTCTTAAAAGGAAGAGAATATGGCCAGCCTGGACACTGAGGGCCAGGGGCCTGCAGAACAAGATGCTTTAGGAGAAGAGCTATGCATTAACAGGTGGGGAGAAAAGAACAGAGCAGCAGAAAGAAAAATATTGAGTATTTTCTCAGATTTGACAATTTACTAAACCCATTCACATACTGTCTCATTTAACAGCAACAAAATCCACCTTAATGAGTACCCAGCGAGTGCCAGGGACCGTGCTGGGTGTTTGCCCTACAGGAGGGCTGATGTTCATAACAACCCTGTCAAGTCGGTAACTGGTGTCTCCACCACCCAGCTGGGGAAGCTGAGGAGGAGACAGTGGCAGCAGAGGCTTTAGGTGGTGACTCTGCAGGGAAAAACGGCATTCACAGTCCCGGTTAGACAGGAGAATCTAGGTCAGCACTTGGGCTTCCTGCAGCTTAAATCAATGAGATAAGTTAATAACCTCCATGCAGCACCAAAATCCAAGAAAATGAAGGAGAAATGAAAAAAAAAAAATGGAGCCATACAGAATCCTCTGCAAGACCACAAAAGCGGAGGTGGAGAAAAGAGCAGCTGGTTAGAGAGAGATATGGAGAAGGGGACCTCCTGGACGCGCCCTGGACGCCAACAGCAGTGGGGAAAAGGCAGGCTGGGAAGGGAGCCGTTGGTCGCCTCACACATCTTCATCAAAGCACACCGTTACGGTTCTTTTCCATTTTTCTGAAAGCAGCACGCACTTAGAGAGAACCTTCATGTGAAATAAAACTCTTGAAGCGCTACCTACCGTTCATGAGGGCGTAGGTGAGAATCATGACGGAGTTGTTTAGAAAACTATTTTCCTCACTGATGACACGGAGAGTCGCTTTCTTATCTTCTTCTGAGGAGTCCTTTGATGTGATGCCAGCTGACAGGTAAATGATGACCATGTCTGTATCTAAACAAAAACATACAGATGGAACGTTACACTGGGCTCCGGCTACAGGCGGCAGTTCTGTTTCTTCTTCATCCCCTGGACTTTCTGGCCTCGAAGGCCCGCCTGGCCCACGGTTCCTCCTCCTGCCATCCCATGCTGGGCTTTCATCTCCCTGCCTCTGCGCCGCTTCCATCCTCCCCTTTGTGGGCACGAGGCCTCACTTATCCAGTGTCAGGTAAGGAGAGGCTCCTGATAAATTTACCAGACAAGAGAAGGTGAGCTCCTCTGGGCACCCGCGGCTGTGGAATCTGGCCACCCGGGCAAGAATCTCTCCCGCCTGCTGAAACAGGATTCAGAACCTGACTCCCTTCCTCAGGGGCTCCGGGTCTTCACCAGGAACACACATTTTTCAGGGGGCTAGGCTTTAAGCTGGTGGTTCTTCCAGGGGCTCCTGAGACATGTAAGGTTATTTGTTCCTCCACTAAGCAGCTGCAGAAACATTTCTGTTTTTAGAACTCATCAGTGTAGCAGAGCAGTGAAAACACGGACACAGGAGCCGGCTGCCCGCGTTCAATCTCGGCGCTGCCACTTACAAGCCAGGTGCGGGAATCGCAGGTGGATTTCTCACCTCTCGCCCCTAAATTTCCTCATCTACGAAACAGGGAAAATGACAGCACTCACTCTGTATGGTTGCTGTGAGGACTAAGTGGTTAATTTAGGTAAAGAGTGAACTCAAGGGGTGACGGCAAATGGAAGGTGAAAGAGAAAAGAAAGAGATCTCAACACACACTCACAACAGACACAGGTAACACACCACACACACACAAATACAACACCACACATACACACAAAGAATACATATCACACACAAACAATACACACATCACATACACACACCACATACATAAACAACACACACACCACACCACGCACCTAGACACACACAACACACACCCACAACACATAAACCACCGCTCCCCCAACACAATGTGCACACAAACACAAAACAAAATAAAACCCTCGTATTGGTTGGAAGTAGCACCTATGACTCAAGATTAAAACTACTCTCCAACTGGGGCTCATGAGTAGGGTAACTGAGAAGTCATTTTACCTCAGTGAGAACTTCTTTCAAGTGGATTTACAAAACAAAAACAAAAGTGGAGAATTTCCCACCTTTAGGGATGTACCAGCAGAGGCTGAGCGACGGCTTTAATGGAGGGAGTGAGGAAAGAGAGCTGGACTTGCACACTATCTTTCTAATCTGAGAGTCTTTGATTCAATATATATTTTTAAGAGATCCTGCGTAGCAGCTTATCTTTTTATTGAAATCGATATTAATATGCTATATGCTTATTTCTTCAGGTCCTTCTTATCACTTAATTGAGGTTACTTTATAGAGTTACTGTGGCAGCAACCTCCACGTTGGTCCCCAGCGGTCCCCCCTCCTGACATTTGCATTCTCATGTACATGTGTCCCTTTGAGCGTGGGCTGGATTGAATGACCGGCTTCTGGTGAATGGAATGCAGCAGAGGGGATGGGCTGTCAAGAGATGGATGAGGTTACGAAGAGAGGGGGCTCCCTCCATGGGTGCACTCAGTCTCTCTCTCCAAGGGAAGCCGCCAGCACGCTGGAAGCTGGCCTATGGAGAGGCAAGAACCTGAGGCCCTCAGGATCGAATCCTACCAGCCCCCACGGGAGTGAACGTGGAAGTGGAGCCCCCCCAAGTGGAACTCTGAGACGACAGCAGCCCTGGCCAACAGTTCACCTGCAAGCCCACGCGACACCTTTTAGCCAGAGGCACCCAGCTTTGCTGTGCCCAGATTCCCAACCCATAGACACTGAGACAATAATCGCTCATTGTTTTAAGTCTCTGAGTGTTGGGGTAATCTGTCACTCAGCAATAGATAAGAAATACAGTTACCCTGCTAAAAGCTATTCTGACAATAATGAGGACCCAGTGCTGGAAGTTCCTTCAGTTTCAGACTCTGAGGCGTCCTTTATTACGCAGAATAGTTAATTTATGTTGTGTCAATATTGTAGACAACTGAAGTGAGTTTAATACAATTTGACTCAAAGAAGTAAATGCATTTAAATTTGCTCTCTCCTATTTACCACTAAGACTTAATACACAGGCAAGTCTTAAAGCCAATTTTGATGTTTGAAAAATTCTCTAATAAACACTAACTGCAAATTTAAGTCATAGTTTTTATTAGAAATTAGGAAGTGAATGCTGATGCAAAAATAAAAAACACAAGTCCATAAGCATAGGAACATCCCTGTTTTAAAGTAGATGTCAATATTTTTCCAATGTTGTAAAGACACTCCTGTAAATCATTTTGTTAGGGCCCTAAATAGCTTACTTAAAGCTTCAGAATGGAAAAAGAAAACACTGCTTGACTCCCTAGTGGGGGAAATACAGAGACAGCACGAGACCAACCTGCAGTCTGCAAACATCTGTAAGCACCCTCAGCACCTGACTCCACTCTCACCCCATCCTCAAGAAAACCAAGTTATTTTTCTATTCTTAGACACCAGACCTGCCAGATTTTGCTGATTTATTTGGATTTTTTTACATATTAGGCTATTACCTCCCTAGTCACTCAGAGGCACTTTAAACCTTGTGATTAGTAATGTTAGGGTTGAGTCATTTTAGGGGCTTTGGGCAGAGAAAAGACATAACAAGATCTGGAAGAAAATGCAATAGACCCTCCACTCGGCAGGTCCCTGTCTACGCCACCAGCATATCCTGGGGTCAGTATCAAAGGGGGCAGGGTAACATGAATTTGGGCTTTGCCATTAGATCCCCACTCCTACCCATCTTCTTCCCTCTGCTCTAACGTGACCTACCAACCAAGCACTCCCCAAACAAACCCATGACAATTACAACCCCAACGTTATTGACGGTATCAGTTATTGATCGACCATGAGACAGAAAAAGAAACTGCATCGATAGAAATTTTAGATTTTTCTGATTAGTGCAAAGCAAATTAGTGAACAGCTACAATGATTTATGACATATGGCTTCTATTTATATGGCTACTAATACAGGGCAGACACTCGACTTTCATGCACAGACTAATCCTCATGACAATCCTATGGGGTAGGTCTGACTCATTAGAATAACCCCACCCCATGGCCCTATAACAGGGCCAGGTCCACAGGAGATGCTAAATACATACCTGTGGAATAAACAGAAGCAACAATGTATAGTGCAAGCTCCAGGAGTACACAGACCCCTCCCTAGACTGTGAGCCAAGGCTGCCAGCGGTCCTCGGCCATCTTTGGGCTTGGGGCCAATTTAGGATGTCTGGGGTACCTGCTCTAATTTAACTAGAGCTAGAAGTTTTGCAGGAAACTGAATATTATCATCTTTATGATGGAATCCTGGATGTTATTATCACCCCCAGTTTGCAGATGAGGAAACCAGGCCTGGAGAGATCAAATAACTTACACAAGTTCACAGGGTTAGAAAAATTTCAGAGTAGGAATCTGAACACACATTGGTTAAAATCCAAAACCCACACACTTAATCACTATGCTACATTGCTTGAGAGCACCTCAAACCCTCCTTAATGAACTGGACAATGGTAATTCCTGAAGTATTTCTTTAAGCAACCTAATTTGGGGTCTTCTTTCTCCAAACTGCCAGCAGAAGCTGTAAAGTGGAGGTCTGTGAACTAAACCTTAGAAATGCCTTACTTGGCCTTCTTTTTTTAAAGACTCCTCTAGGGGCCGGCCCAGTGGTGCAGCGGTTAAGTTCACATGTTCCGCTTCGGTGGCCCAGGGTTTGTCGGTTTGGCTCCCGGGTGCAGTCATGGCACCACTTGGCAAGCCATGCTGTGGTAGGCATCCCACATATAAAGGAGAGGTAGATGGGCACGGATGCTAGCTCAAGGCCAGTCTTCCTCAGCAAAAAGAGGAGGATTGGCAGCAGTTAGCTCAGGGCTAATCTTACTCAAAAAAAAAAAAAGGAGACTCTTCTAAGCATTTAAAAAACAATGCCATCAAAATTTGTCCATGTCCTTGATGATCACTCTTCTAGCTGAGTTTTTGTTTTCCAACTCTGAGAAAATCCAAAAATCCAAGAGGAGAAACGCTTCCCATCAAAGCAGCCTTCTGCTAGTGTGCAGCACAGGACAGTTTGTGAGGCGGTTTAACGAGGTGTCTATTCACAGTTTTAAAGCTGGAAGAAACGTCAATATTTGAAAATCAAAGGGTTTCACATAAAAATGCAGATTTCTGGCTTCTCTGGAAACAGAAGATGTGGCAACACTGGACAGGCATTCCTGCACGGCAGCCACAGGCTGACCCTCTGGATGCAGCCCGTGCCCTCTGGATGCAGCCCATGCTCTCTGGATGCAGAGCATGCTCTCTGGATGCAGCCCACATTCTCTGGATGCAGCACATACTCTCTGGATGCAGAGCATGCTCTCTGGATGCAGTGCATGCTCTCTGGATGCAGAGCATGCTCTCTGGATGCAGTGCATTCTCTCTGGATGCAGCCCCATGCTCTCTGGATGCAGAGCATGCTCTCTGGATGCAGCCCGTGTTCTCTGGATGCAGCCGTTTGGATGCAGCCCATGCTCTCTGGATGCAGCACGCACTCTCTGGATGCAGCCCGCGCTCTCTGGATGCACAGCATGCTCTCTGGATGCACAGCATGCTCTCTGGATGCAGCCCACACTCTCTGGATGCAGAGCATGCTCTCTGGATGCAGCCTGTGCTCTCTGGATGCAGAGCATGCTCTCTGGATGCAGCCCACACTCTCTGGATGCAGAGCATGCTCTCTGGATGCAGCCTGTGCTCTCTGGATGCAGCGCATGCTCTCTGGATGCAGCCCGTGCTCTCTGGATGCAAAGCATGCTCTCTGGATGCAGCCCGTGCTCTCTGGATGCAGCCTGCACTCTCCGGGTGCAGCCTGTGCTCTCTGGCTGCAGCCCGTGCTCTCTGGCTTACTATGCTTCCCAAACAATCCTCACTACCTTACCTTGGGCTCGCTTGACTCGTATTCACTGCCTGGCCACTGCCAGTCTAGCATTTATCTCCATAGTTTTAAATAGTGTAATAATCAAAATTGGACTTAAATGCTAAAGATGGTTTGATGACTGAAGAATCCAGTAAAAGTACTTCCAGTGAGCAAGCTGACATGTAGAAGGCAGCTGGTAAATGGCATCTAAAGGTAAATGGCATCAATCAATTGCAATCCATCTTGAATACTTGAGAGGTCAGCCTTGTCCGCTGGCCTTATTGAATCATAGCCAACTTTACACTCAGCCATCCTACAATATTGGTCTGTGGATAGCTGGCACTTGCCAAAGCTGGTAGGCAAAATTCTAAGATGACCCCAACGACCCACAGCCTCTATAATCCTCACCCCTCTTGTGGGAGTGGTTCTGGGAGTAGCCAGTAATTTGCTTCTAACTAACAGAACATGGTAAAAGTGATGGGATGTCACTCCTGTGATTGTGTTACAATGTGGCAAAGATGGAGAGATTTTGCAGATGTAATTGAAGTCTCTAATAAGTCCATCACAAGGGGGAGTAAGACGATTAAATCAAAACGGAGAGTGGGTCTGATTAGACCAGGTGAACCTTTTAAAAGAGGGTCGAAGCCTTTCCCTGAAGTCAAGGGCTTGAAGAAGAGATGCTCTCTGCCTAGACTTGAGGAAGCAAGTGGACATGAGGTTCACAGTTGCAAGGAAATTAATTCTGTCATCAATGGAGCTTGGAAGAGGACTCCCAGACTTGAGATGAGACCACAGACCTGGCTGACACCTGGACTGCAGCCTTGTGCATTCCTAAGCAAGGACCCCAGCTAGGGTGCACCTGGACTCATGGCCACAGAAACTGTGAGATAATAAACATACTTTGTTTTAAGCTGTTGTTCAGTTTGTAGTAATTTGTTATGCAGAAACATAAAACTAATATGCCATCTACCATCATTAGTTGTAATAATTACAGTAACTTCTTCTTTCTTTCAAGGGCCCAGCATGTGCCAGGCACTATGTGCTGTATTTATCAATGCTTAGTTTAATGCAGACACACTGAAGAGCTTGAAAACATATTTTTAAAATTTATCTTAATAGGATACATTCAACTAAAAAAAAACCCCTACAAATAGATTTTCGAATATAAAAGGGAAAAGGACATAGATTCCTTTCAGGAGTTTCAAAGCATGTCTCTTATTTCCAATATCCTTTCCTTTTGCATGCATCCTAATTCCAGATTTCCTTTAATACACGAAAATTAAATTAGAGTGCCTTTGTACATTTGAAGGGCTGTGCTCATCTAAATGACAGCTGGTCAGAAGAAGGAAGGATCAGTGCGGGAACTCCTGCTGCCCTATTTATGTGCACACGCGCACAAGCAGACATCCCTGAGCCAGGGAGGAGGGGAGGCTGACGATCAGCATCAAAAAGGAGGCGAATATTCCCCTGGGAAATAAATGGGGACATGTTCTTAATCAAGGGGCAGGAAGAAGAGGCTCTGGGAGTGAAGAAATCGGGGAGACTGAACACCTCTGCTTGGAAAAGAAGAGAAAATCTGGGAAGGTCCTAGTTTTAGACGACCATTATGACAACACGTGAAAATTTTATCCCAAGTCAGTTTTTGAAAAATCCCTCTAGACGTAGCTGTGTGATCGATTTACGATACATTCCTAGCGCCATCCTTTATTGATTAGTTTCTAAGGCCTCTGAGAGAGGGCACTTACTTGCTTGGGATCTTGTGTTGTTGTTTGTGCTTCGAATCAGCTGAAATGCCTTTTGAAATCCTACTGCGTGCTGGGTGGGACTGTCCAAAGACTTGACGCTACTAACGAAGGTGGACATCTTCCTCTTGGTCTCACTGGTGGCCGGAGACAGGAACGTCTTATAGCACTGGTCGAGGGAGCAAGTCCTGACGGTGTCCGCTACAGTCAACACAGAGATCTGGAGGAGAGAAAAAGAAGAGTTGCTACCTTACCATGTAAAGGTTATTTTATATTCCAGAGAGAACCCAAGGAGTGAGAAGGCCTAGAAAACAGTTTCTGAGAGTTTAAAAATGCGTGCCTGGAGGCATAAATCTATCAAATTTGAAAAGGATTAGTTAAGGATTGGTAAGGGGAAGGGACCCTTGAGTTTGGTTTCTGTTCTAAGATGAAGTCAGCAGAATGGTGTTCATATAGAACATTAAAAAATGTATTTCACGCAGAGAGAAATCTTAGCAAGTACTAACCATCTTGGTTTTCCAACTGCAGGTGGAGTGAGGGCAAAAGGCATGGAGGGTGGTTTTAAGGAACTAGATTAGTGAGTAAAACTTCTGGAGTTGAAGTCAAAATGATGAAGCAGGAAATGTCCACAGGCAATGGATTATCATTAGCTGTAAATAACCTGTCTCTGAGGTGTCCTAGAGAGCAGCATTCCCTTCGTCCGTACCTCCCATCAATCTTGGGATAAAGTCTAGGCAGCTGCCAGCATCCAAGCCCCCAAGCCCTCAGCCTTCCCTCCTTAGCATAACTTCCAGTGTAAAAGTCACAACCAATTAGAAGTCTTAACAAGAGCCGCAAGGAAAGTGCAAGCCTTGGCTTGGCAGGGGTGGTTTTCAAAGAGACTTGCAACCAGACCTGGAAGCTGCTTCCTCAAATATTAGAATAAAAACGAAACCACTCTCTTTTCCCAAAGTCATTTTAAAGATGGATTTAAAAATATACATCATAAAACATAAGGTACTTTTAAAAAGGCATTTAAGGAAGACCCAATGTCACGAGGGTCAGTGGGATAATGATCACCTTATCATGTTCATCGATGGCGCTGAGGATGACCTGGGCAGCATCCTTGGCGATCTGAAGCTGGGTGTCCGTGACAGAAGCCCCGTGGTCCAGGATCACTACTATGTGCTTTGACTGCGGCCGGACTGTAGAGACGTAGATAGGTCTAGAAGGGGGAGAAGCTCTCTGGGGTCAGTCCTGGTTTAGGTAACAGGCCTCCACCTAACACAGATGGGAACACTACAGACGGGCAGGCACGCTGGTGTCGGCGTGTTTTTCCAGGGATGGCACAAGGATGGAGAGATCAGCACGGAATGAGAAACCATACTGGTGCACTGGAAACACCACCTCAAGACAACAGTGTGTGTCTGAAGATCAGGGATTGGTGACCTATTTCTTCTAAAGATTACAGCAACCGGGAGAAGGTTTTAAGAAGCAAATCCTTTGAGAGTCTGATAGTCAAAAGTTAACCCTCAGCTTTGCGTGATGCTGCTGCTCACTGTTACCCGACTTTCTGCCTCAGGAAACGGATGTGCAGAGACAGCACAAGACGGGGGAAAAGGTCCCCTCGCCAGTGCCAGGTCCTCCTTTGCACACTTACAGAATGGCGCTCTGCTGAAACAGAGCCAGCCTGTAATCTGTGGGCAAGCTGAGCAGCTTTGAATAGCAGGTTTGGTTTTTCTTTCCCTAGCCCACGGCTGCTGCAAAGAGGGGCCTTTCCTCTCTGTACCGAAGCATTTCACACAGGTCAGCCACCAAAAGGCCCCTTATCTGAGCATTTAAAACCATGCCATCAAATTTGTCCAAGCCTGTGATCGTCCCTCTTCTTGCCAGGTTTTTGTTTGCCAACATTAAGAAAAGGGGTTTGGGGGGAGCTCCAAGGGAGAAACGCCCCCCATCAAAGCCGCCTTCTGCGAGTGTGCGGGACAGGAAGGTCTGTGAGAAGAGGTTTAATGAGGTCTCTATTCACAGCTTTAAAGCTGGAACAAATTAGGGGGAGCTTAAGAAAGCAAATCAGCCTCGAGAGACTGCTTTCCTTTATTGACACCCTAAAACACTAGAGTTTTCTGTGAAATGTTAGATGCCAGCTGAGCCACAAAAGCCTGGGCACAAATTAAGAAATGCAGGCAAAGTACCAAAACCCCTCAAAATCCGGCCAAGTTTACAGGAATTGTTCTCAAGCCCAAAGTCCCACATTAATACCAAAGTCCCACTGTATTTTCCCCAGTCGATACCACTGAGCCAGCAAGGACCTGGGCTGGGGAACAAGAATCCAGGAGGGGTGGCTGCAGAAACGAAAGAAGAACAGAAAAGAAAGAACTCTGGCTATCCTAACACTGAAGACCACATCAAATATTGAACTTTTTCTGTCCTCCAAGCAAGGTGAGAGGGTTTTCTTCAGAATGACACACCTCCTCCTTTCCAATTCAACTTACATAAATGAAGAGCACAGTATGTGTTTGCGTTGTCACACCAAGTTGTTAAAAAGAGCTTTAGTGGGACAGGTAAATAGTAATGTTAAGTGTATGTTCTGGGAGGTGGTCCTCACGACACAATCAGTATCCACCTGTCCTTTCTCGTGTTGCTCTGCTCTGAAATCCACTCAGCTTCAAAGAATGCAGAACTTGCAAAGGCATCAGATGAAGGCAGTTAGGGCAAGCAAAGGGATGGGAATAGCAATCTATGAGGAGAGGAACACAGATCACTTAGCTAAGGGAAGAGAGGCTCAAGCATTGATTTAATGTCGACTTGGGGTGGAGACACGTGACACCTTCCAAGTGTAGGTGCCTATTGATTTGTGACAAGGTCCTGCTTTTCCTTTTGGACTACCCCTCATAGGTGATTCCCTAAAAGCAGCATGCCATCTAATCTATCTTCCTAGAAGGAAGTGAGAATTAGATGGTTCATAGTGCCTTTGGTCTCTCCTGAGAGAAGCCAGACTAGAACCCAAGGGCATGGCTTCTGGTCTAGTTTCCAAGACATTCAAGTCTTCCCCAGGCTGTCTAGTGAGGGAATGGAAGAAACCATACAAATGATACAAATATCTTTCTCGGGAAAGCACGGAAGTAGTATTTTCCTTGGGGAAAATTTTAGACACAATTTGAAGTCAAGACGAAGGGAGGCTAAAGTGGTGGTTAATTCAGATCCAGAAAGTGGCATGACAAATGGGCACCTTGCACCGGTTCCAGAAGCTCTGGCATCAAACATCTAACACAGCAAAGGGGAACCCATGAGGATTCAAGAGGAAAGTACCTTTGCTTAAGGGGTTCTGCAAATTGTTGAGTCTTGTCACACAATCACGTCACCATCACTGCCCTTCTGGCTGAGTGGGCATCTCAAGCCCTTTCCATGAGAAAAGTAGGATGTTAACTGTCTTTAATCCAATGTTTTCTAGACAACCTTAAAAGTTCTGGTAGCTGAGATTTACATGTAACTTTCAAAAGGATGGCCAAGCACATTATCATAGAATGGAAGGTTGAGAATGGCAAACTCAACTCTGCGATATGTCATAACGTCTTCTAGGGCTAGGCTTTGAAGAAGGCGTTAGCATTTATGTCTCAACAAAGACTTGTGAAGGTCAAAACAGTTTGGGTGTTTCAAACAAGTTAATTTCTTCAGTAAACACCCTGTTTTATTTGGCTTGTTAGATAGTTCTAGAGAAGCTCTGGGCTTTACCATTCGCCCTTCCCCAGCATTCTCACATCCATCTACGTTCAGTGGTGAAATCATTTCAGAACAAACTTCCAAAGCCGCATCTTACTGGCAGAGCCAAGCATGTAAATGAGGAGTCTATATTTCATACAGATCACTCTGAAGTGGTAATTAAAACTTTAGCAAGCAAGTCAACGTACCTACTGCGATGCTCGTAGCTGCCCTTACACCGGAACTTGTGTGCTGGGAAAACAGTGAAAATTCCTTCTTCCGAACTGAAATACTGCCACTTAATTCCAGGGTTGGATTTCAGGTTGTCTGCGAGAACTGGGGGAGTGAGGAAGAGGAAATATAAGCCCCAAATCCACAGGTGCGTGTCGGCTCCTCAGGCATCTGTTTTGCATAAACTGCTTGTAGTCTGAAGAAATCCCACTAGATAGAAGGCTATAAATTTTCTACTAAACTAAATTTTCTTTTTGTCCCTTAAAAAATACCCCATGAATAGGAAATGCAATGAATATTTCAGCCAAGTGAAGCTATCATTCTTAATACTGCATGGTGACGCTATACGCCCTGGATTACTTTTCCAGCATCAATGATTCATTTCTACTCATCTCTCCCCTCACTGGGCTGGTCCCCGTTTGGCCACCGTACACTTGCTGGCTTGGGGGCACAATCTTTAACTGCGAAAAACAGGGATGTTAACAGGCCTAGTCTCCAGAGGGACTAGACCCATGAGCCTGGCCTAGCTCGCTCCACATGGAGGGAAGCGGCATAGATGGTACCTGGAAGGCCAGAACCATAATCATTCAGTAAGAGCTCGTGGGAGTGGTTCCAAGGCGCCAGCCCCAGGATGGAGACGTTCCTCTATGTTATCTCATTTAATCCATAAGACAACCCTAAGATGTTATTAATATTCCTTACTCTGGAGTTGAGAAAATATGCTTAAAGAGCTTAAGCAATTTGTCTAAGGCCTCATCAGGAAACGGCCGAGGTGGGATTCAAGCGCGGGGGTCCTGGCTCCTGAGTTCTTTACATCATGCTGCCCCGCCTCCCTTCCTGTGTGCACTGCATCACTGCCACTGGTCTGCAGCTGGAGTGGCAGCCCTCTTCTTGTGTGAAAGCCTGTCCTCAAACCTCCGTGAAGTCTTCCTTACCCTCCTTCACATCAACTCAGTTACACGTTATACACTTACCGGGTGTAGAGGACTGTTTCACAGGATCCAAGATTTACAGAGATGACCAAAACCCAGCCCTACTGCAACAGCTGACATACCAGGAGAATTATGTAGAGGGAAACAGAACAGAGAGCAATGCAAGGGAAGGAGTCTGAGTGGAGGCGAAAAGGAAGGAAAGTGTGAGGCGCTTGACAAAAATACATATAGAGCTCTAAACGCTTTAAAGGGCACAGCCACCCTTTAGTCTGGCTCAGGGGCCAGCGCACTTTTGTAAAGGGCCAGAGTAAAGAATTCTGCCTTTGCGGACCACACGGTCTCTCTTGCAACTACCCGACTCTGCCGTTGCAGTGTGAAAGCAGCCATGAACACCCATAAATGAATGCGTGGGTGGGTGCCAATCAAGCTTTACTTACAAACACAGTGGCAAGACGGATTTGGTCAGGGGTCCCCAACTTTAGGGCTGGTCTGCCCCTGACCACGCCATCTAAAATGTGCCACATGAGGACTTAGATAGTGTTCAGTGCCTCACACCTTCAGCAATTACCCCACCCAACATGCAGCAAGGAGCTGAGCCCATTTCATCCTCACAAAAGCCCCAGGAGAAAAAAATACTACCCCCAAGCGACAGATGAGGAAAGAGGTTCAGAGAGGGGTTTTTTGACCTCCTTGAGGTTTCACAGTGGACGAGAAGAGAGTTAGGTCAGTGTGTGACCAGAACGCCTGCCCCCTCTCCACTCCACCAGGGGACCTTCTCGCGGTCATCCCCTGGACTCAGGCGACCACACTCTTCTGAGACCTACGGCTGACGTGAGTGCACGTAAACGTGGAAGAGGCTTTTTCTCCGCCTGTCTCCTGGGGGTCTGGAGCCTTAACCTTGATCTCACATTAGCGCTGTTCTCCAGACAGCCCTGCCAACCCCGCAATAAAAAGGCAAACAGTGCTTTGGAAGTCAAGGAAAGCTGGATGACCTCATTTAAAAGTAACATCTGTAACAATAAACAGGCTACAGTAAGACTATTAAAAAGGGGAGCCAAGGAGAGCAAGAATGTTTTAAAAATAAATCAGAATTCATACAGTGCATGATACATTTAGTTTCACCACCAGAGATCTTTCTGGTTCCTTACGGTCATTCCGACACTGGAGCCTAAGTACCAGGCGAGCATCCTCAGACCCTCCTGCTGAGAACTCCTTTGGCCTCTGATTAGATTTCATCCGTTATTTGGTATTAGAGAAGATGATGGATATGATGGTAATGAGGACCCCAGGGCCCAGAAGCAATCTATCATTGCGGTGTCACCCCGGGCGGGCCTCCCTGACCTAGATGTGGAGGTGAATGGCAGCCCTATTACCCATGCAGGCAGCCCGGGGGGCCTTGCCCATCATGAGAGTCAGTGAGGTGTTCTGACCATTGCATAGCTGGGCAGGGGTCCTGCAAACTCAACTCTCTCCACAGAAATGCTGGACGCCTTCCAGGAAAAAGCTGGGCAGATGCCCAGCCTGTCGGCCCAGGACGCACAGCACAAGGCTTCAGGCTGTCAGTGGGCAGGGTCTGTATCTGTCTAAACGGCTCTGCACGCCTCCCTCGGACAGACACATGGGACGGAGGCAATAAATGTGCTTATCCTCGCTGAAGCTTCTCCCCCAGAGAGAAGCTGCCACAGCCTCTGAATGCCCCAGCGTTCTAGCTCTTCCATCTTCGGGTTACGGGTAACTTTTTGCTCCTCCATCACTAGATTCCAGGATCCTCAAGGGCGAGATGTGTATCTGAGTCATCTCCGATACCCAGCAGCAGAGATTCCCGGTTCTTTTCACATCCGGGCACACAGTCTGAGAGCTGCAGGCTGGAAGAGCTGCCCGGAGGTACTCTTTCTCAACCGTTTTTTGATACTTCTGAAATCTTACTTTCCTCTAATGCCAAATCCACTTTAAAATCAATTAAATATTGTGACTAAATCAATATAGAGCAATGATAATTCTAAATATGTTTTAAAGTGATAAACATCCCCTTCTCCCAAAACCACTGCAGAGGCAACCGGGACAGAAACAGACAGGTGAATGGAGAGAGAAAAAGCCTGCTCGTCTGATGATTCACAGGACTATACCTGTCAAAATGTATCAACTGTATATGTTAAACACGTGAAGTTTACTGGATGTCAATTATACCTCAAAAGAGCTGATTTCATAATAAAATAGTGGAAATTGGAGCATAATACAAACTAGTTTTACATATGGTGTGCCACTTTTCATAGTTACTCTATGAGTTTGTTATGATACCCATTTTGCAGATACAGAATTAACTTGCTCCAAGCCACAAGGGCAGAGCCATGATTTGCTCTCAGTCTGCCTGCCTCCAAAGGCCTGGCTCTTTCCGGAACACTCCAGTGCGCCTACCTGTCAATAAATCTATCCTGAATGAATTAGCACTCAACAGATCAAAAGCACACCGAGTACTTCTTGAGAGGCAGCAAGAATAAACACTTCGGTGTTTCTCAAGCCGAGTAAGTGGTTGCATTAGTTTGTAAATAGACAATGTAAATAAATACAATGAAGAAGACATTTGACAAAAAGGAAGGATTTCACAATTGATGTAACACACAAGGCTAAAGGGAGCATTTACTCTTGCGAGACAACTGCTGAACTGCTGAAACTGAGACATACCAGCAGGGTCATCCAAGGTCTTGGGGTCCACCATTGACCCCACGGGCTGGTTTAGCTAGAAAATGGCAGGGACACAAGCCATAGAGTCAACAGTAGTTACAGCACCCACGACTCTGAGCGACATCAAACAATCAATAGCATAGTTTAGATAATAGGAGTTTTTATTTGAGAAACTATATAGCTGAGACCTCGTAATTATTTTGTAGGTGTTCCACAGGTCAGAGATGTGAGCCTTAGGGGTCTTTTCCTTTCAGTGCCAATTGCAGCAGCATGAGAAAGCCATCTGGACGAGGACCGTGGCTATTTTGCACTTTCTACTTAATTCGAGTTGGCGTTTAGGAACTAGAAGGAAGACCCTGATAAATGAGAATAAGCCACGGGTTTAAGTCCCATCTCTAAGACTGGAAAGCCCTCTGGCCCTAAATTGACTCTCTCTACAGCATCCAGAGGCACCTTTCTAAAATGGCAAGCAAATCCCACCACTGATTTACTCAAAACCCTTCAAAGGTCTCCCACTCTACCTCACCTGGTATCAAATCCAGACTTGATGAGGCCCTGAACCATCTCCCTACTCCCCACACTCTATCTCAAGAGCTATTCCGTTCCATTTTGCCAATGGGCCAAGCTCTTTGCACGAGGTGATCCTCAGGCCTGGAATAACTCTTGTCACCGTCTCAGAGAGACCTTCCCTGACCACTCTCCTTATTATCCTTTCTCATAGCACCCAGTTTTTTCCTTCATAGCAGATATTGGTAATGTTCTGTGTATTTAATCTGTGGCTGTCTGTTTCACGTCTCTCACACAGAGTTGCTGTGAGCCCCATGAGGGCAGGAGCCAAGTCCGTTTTCTTCATCACAACCCCACAGCCCGGCACACGCCTGGCATCTAGGAAACCCTCAAAATCAGTCGTCACTGAGTGAACCAGTGAACGACGGCCCTGACCGAGGCTCTTCGTGTCTGTCCCCCGTGAGATTCCGCGATTTCCTCATCTTTAAAGTAACAGATTTGACAAGGTGTTCCCAAAGACCCTTTAGAAACCCAAAGAGAAAAGTGGATAGAAGGCAAAGAATGAAGGCCAATGGGCAGGAAGCATCCAGATTTACAACCAGCGAGAAAGAGCAAACTTCTAATGGGCTTTGATCAAATTTATGCAAAAAAAGGAGGAAAAAAGGAACAGCTTCCTCACTTCTCCTTGACTTAAAGCTGTAGGAGAGCGCTACGAGATTACTAACAGTGAGCCCAGACTAACCGCAGTATCCAAACAGCACCGAGGACTGCTAAGATGAGGACAGGACTGCTAAGATGAGGACAAGGGAGAAACTTAACCCGGGCATTTGAAGGACAGCAGCTCCCTGTGATGGCTCCTTGCTTTTTCCCACCATCCCCCTTTGCAGTGGCCTTCAGCAAGCTGACTTTTCTCTCTCTCACAGTTCCTACGCTAATTCAAAGCAAAGACAAACCATTTTGCAATACCCATTGGCTGGTTTTTCT